AATCAGGAGGGCCTCGGTTTTTCGCACGTTGAGTTGAAGAAAGTGACCCCTAGTTCTAGATTCTCCAACCCAGGGAAACAGTCTCACACTGTCTACTCTGTCAAGCCCCATAAGTTTCTATAAGATCACCCCTAATTCTTCTATATTCTAGAGAATATAGGCCTAGTTTACTCAACCTATCGTCCATTGGTCAACCCCTCATCCCAGGAACTAACCTAGTGAGTCTACGCTGCACCCCCTCTAAGCCGAGTATGTCCTTTCTTAAATAAGGAAACCAAAACTGCACACAATGTTCTAGGTGTGGTCTCACTAAGGACCTATACAATTGCAGCAAGACTTCCCTACTCTTGTACTCTAACCCTTTTGCAATAATTGCCAACATGCCATTAGCCTTCCTAGTTGCTTCCTGTACCTGCAGACTAACTTTTTGTGACTGCTGTACAAGGCCACCTAAATCCCTCAGAACAATAACACTATCTAATCTCTCCCCCTCTAGAAAATAATCTGCTTTTCTGTTTTTACTACCTAGGTGAATAACTTCACACTTCCCTATATTATATTCCATCTGCCACCTTCTTGCCCACTCACCTAGCCTATCTATATTCCTTTGCAATCTTTTTGTGTCATCCTCAGAGCTTACTCTCCCACCTAGCTTAGTATCATCCGTGAATTTAGATATTTTAAGTTCTATGTCCTCGTCTAGATCATTGATATAGATTGTAAATAGTTGAAGCCCAAGCACTGATCCTTGTGGCACTCCACTAGTCACATCCTGCCAATCTGAGAAGGACCCGTTTATCCCTACTCTCTGTTTTCTTCCCATTAGCCACTCTTCGATCCGTGCTAATATATTACCTTTAATTCCATGGACCCTAATCTTGTATGGCAGCCTTTTATGTGGCACCTTGTCGAATGCCTTCTGAAAATCTAAATATACAACATCTACTAGTTCCCCATCTTCTCTCTCCCACCCTTCTTAAATATTGGTGTTATGTTTGCGATCTTCCAATCAATGGGAACCGTTCCAGAATCCAGAGAATTTTGGAAGATCAAAAACAAGACATCCACTATCTCAGCAGCCACCTCTTTTAAAACCCTAGGATGCAGGCCATCAGGTCCAGGGGATTTGTCATTTTTCAATCCCAACAGTTTCCCTAATACTAATTCTTTACTGATGTTAATTTCCCTAAGTTGCTCATTAACATTAGCTTCTTGGTTCCCCTCGATTTTTGGTACGTTTTCTGTGTCTTCTAATGTGAAGACAGAAGCAAAGTCCTTGTTTAATGACTCTGCCATATCTTTATCCCCCATTATAATTCCTTCTGTCTCTGCCTGTAATGGACCCACAATCACTTCTGATAGTATTATCTTAGAATACATTAGCATACATTAGAATGTACAGCACAGAAACAGGCCATTTGGCTCCACATGAGCCTCCTCCTGCCCTTCCTCAACTAAGCCTTCAAGCATCTTGGAGTAGAAGGACGATTTGGCGGAAGCGAGGGCAGATCGGTTCGTTTTGATGTGGTCCAGCCAGATGTGCCAGTGAACTGTTAAGTCAGATTTGAGCCAAGTGCGTTTGGCAGCCTGCATCTACCCCTTGAGGGAGTGGAGATGGCTGGTGTACCAAGGTGAGGTTCGTGAGTAGGAGATGGTTTGGGAGGTGCGGGGGTCAAGGGCATCAAGAGTGGTGGAGAGGGAATTGTGGAGGAGCGAGGAGAGTGAGCGAGGAGGATAAATCAGTGTGAGAGGTAGGCCGGGCTGCGGGGGGGTGGGGTGGAATTCAGATGACTCCAGAGCAGTGGAGAGGGATTGCAAGAGATTTTTTTTCAGGGGCAATAGGAGATGGAGATGGGTTTGGTGGCAGATGTGAAAGAGATTGAGGAGTTAAAGGAGATGAAAAGGTGATCAGGAATGGCTTTTTCTGTGATTATTGATATCCAAGACACTGAGGCCCAGGGTAATCACCAGTAACCACTGTGTGTTTCTCACACATATCCTCATGTAACAGCAGAAAAAGTATGAACAGGATGAACAGGCAGATGCTGTTGGGGCAAAATTCACGTTGTGATAAAGGAAGGGTAATTAGAGTAATTAATGTGTGAGGGGAGCAGGTTTGGAGTGGGTAACAATGCAAGGCCTCACTTATTGACTGACGCCTGCTTGACGCTGTTCCCATTTGTTGTAGAACAGTTGGAATCCTTTTGAAGTTTATTGGGAACAGAAGTTTGGTCTTGGTTCTTGGCAGATTGTGTCAGTAACTGATCCCAGTGCCTGGCGTAAGTGCCGAGAATCTTGTGAAGAACACTGTTTCAGGCCTCTTTTAACTGCTTATAATCAGAGCAAGTCACTGGAGGGAAATTGGCCGGAGGCCCAAGAGGCATTTCTTCTCCAGCAGTGCATGGCACCTTCTTCCCCTCTCATTTTATTTTAATTCACAACAATCTTATACAGAAGCTTATAACCAACCTTTTCACACTCTGAATAACTTCATGCATAGACTTTTACACAGGGGGTTACTGTCAGAGGTCTAATGTGACAGGATTATGCGAGAAGTGGCTGGGTGGAAGCAGAGCTGTACACTAATTTTACACACTTTGAGATTCAGCCTGCCTCCCAGCACTGGCACAACGTCTCGGAGTGATTCAAAGACTCAGAGTGGCTGAGGGGGTGGAATTGGAATTGGACCTTACCTTGGTGTTTGTTCTACACCTTAATAAAGGATTACTAATAATAATCCTTGCATTTGATATGCCACCCTATCATGTCGTCATTATTGTCGTCTTTACTCACTCCCTCCCTCACCTTTTTCAAGGACCATCCCAAGACCTACTTCTTTGACCAAGCCTTTGGTCATCTTTATAATAATAATAATCCTTGCATTTGATATAGCGCCTTATCATGTCTCCGAGATGTCTCAAAGCGCTTTACAGAATATACTGTAATCACTGACTAAGCATCAGACTTGCCATTGTGCTTGTTTTCTGTTTCACAAAAGCTCCTGCAGGAGCTTGCCTGGGGTATAAAAATTGGACTGCATGTCCTTAACTCTCGAAATGATTTTGGAGCAGGCAGAGGAGGTGTTTGCTAAAGGAAGGTTATATGCGCTTTTGCAAACTCCACAAATAAAATATCCAGTGATGCCAGTTTGCGCTTTATACCAGCCGCTGGGTCCAAAGGCCAGACCTTGGGCATCAGGCCCATCAGATGCCTCACCCTGGGGAGCTATCGAGCCATCTCTAGCTGGATTCTAAACATGTATGACAATGGAACAAATCCTGTAGAGTTGAATCCCAGGCCCTGCTTGATGCCCCATCGAGGCCAGTCTGTGAGATGCCACAACTAACTTGTACATCATGAGATTGACTCTGCCCTGTGTGTGCTTCAGGTAAACATCTGTGGTGCTGACACTTTTTGAACTTAGAATTTTGATGTAACCTTTTAAAATCTCTGTCCCTCCCAGTCTCTTCCCCCCAGCCCTGCTCTTACTTTCCCCTCCTATCCCCACTCCTACTTTTTTCTCCCTCACCTTTCTCCTGCACCCCCGCTCCTACTTTCTTCCCCCACCTTCCACTCCTACTCTCCCCAACCCCCTGCTCTTACTCTCCAACCCTACCCCCGCTCCTACTCTTCCCCCACCCCCCCGCTCCCACTCTCCTCCCGCACCCTCCCTCCACCGGTTCCTACTCTCCCCTCTTCCATGTTGTGCTAGATGGCTTGATCCAGACTGAGTTCAGACTGGCTCCAATGCGATGGGAATAGTGTGTTTGCAATACTCTGAGCTCCACCTAAATGAATCAATGAGCCTGTCACTCGTGGTGCCACTCAATGGATCTGGGCTTGAGATTCCGAACCAGGTTTCAAGCCATGTGGGAAAGAGTTGTGTGTGTATGTTTGCATTCCTCATCCCTGTGTCTGTGGTGGGGGAAGGGAGAGGACCTGCGGGGGAGGGGGAAGAGAGAATCCTACAGCAGATGTTTGGAAAAGGTTCAGGTTTCTGTCTCCTCTAGGGAGCCATCTCTGTTTATATTAAAACCGTATGGAGAGGCTGAGTGATAGGAGCTCTACGCATTCTTGCTCTGTTGCCCTATGTTCTTGTGGTATTTGAGGAAACCTTGTTCACCCAGCATATTTTTCTTTTGCACATAAGGAGGGATTAGGGGAAAGTTGAGTTGCCAGGGAATGTCATGCAACTGCTAGGACCCATTCAATGACCTTGTTGAAGATCGCCTGTGAGGTTGGTGTGCCCTCCCCTGAGAGGTTTCTTGTGCTTTTTTTTCCTTCTCTTGCTCTTTCCCTCTCTTTTTCACTCACTTTCTCATTCATTTTCTCTCCCTTTCTCTGTGTATTGTGCAACATGTCAGTCTACCTAATTGATAGCATTCTCTCTCTGACATATTAAACCCTAAGTCCTGTCTACCTGATCAGGTGGACGTTGAAGATACAAATACAAAAGTTACATTGTATAGCACCTTTCAAGTCAGAAGGATGTCCCAAAGTTCCAAGATCCTAACTCATTATCAAACTGGTCAAGAATCCTCCAGATAAAATTGGTCATTCACTTCATGACTGTTTGTGTGACATTGGTTTGCGCACATGGCTGCTCCATTCACCTACAATTACCTTAGTCATTTCTGTGAAGCGTTTTGACATTGTGATAAGGTACTATATAAAATGCCAGAATTATTATTTTTATTATTACTGCAAAGCTTCATTTTCGATAGGCCTGTCTGTAATGGATGTCATTGACATGTTGCATTATTGGCAGATCAATGGAAGCTCTGAGCTGTGGGAGTCTTGGGTCTTAAAGATTAGACAAAAGACTGTGGAATTTAAAATAAAACCCAGCTGTGTGAAGCCTGTTTTCTTAAAGATTGTAAATAAAAATATACTTCCAGAACATTCTACCTAGCTTGTCGTGCGAGCTGAACACTGCTTGTCATTGTGTAACTCCCACCACTTCCATGTGAAAGAGACCACACAATTGCTTCCTTCAGTTCAGTGCTGTTACTCATTGCAGTCGCAGGGCTCTGGAGGGAATGTCGAGGCATAGCTGTGATGCCAGTCACGAAGTGGCTGGGGAAAGGGAGACTGTGTGTGTGGGGGTGGGGGTCTGTGCACATGTGTGTGCTTGTGCCTGCGCGTGCATCTGTGCACGTATATCTGTGCCTGCATGCATGCGCCTGTGTGCCTTTGCCCATGCGTCTGTGCCCATGCACCCGTGCCTGCAGGTGCGTATGGGTGTGCACAGGTTGCTGTGCGTGCGAGCGGATCTCTGTGGGTGCCTGTGCTTGTGTGGGTGACTGTCCGCACGCCTGTGCGGGTGCCTGTGTGTGCCAGTGCGCACGTCTGTGCAGGCGCCCGTGTGGGCTAGTGCTTGTGTGTATGTGTGCCTGTGTATGTGCACGTATGTGTGCCAGTGTGCGTGCCGGTGTGGGAGCCAGTGTGGGTTCCTGTGCATGTGGGTGTGCGGGTGCCTGTGTGTCTGCCTGTGTGTGTGTATGCCTGTGGTGTGCGCGTGTGTGCCTTGTGTGTGTGTGTGTATGCCTGTGTGTGTGCGCGTGTGTGCCTTTGTGTGTGGTGTGTGTGTGCCTGCCTGTGTATGCCTGCCTGTGCCTGCCTGCTTGCCTGCCTGTGCGTGCTTGCCTGCCTGTGCGTGCTTGCCTGCCTGTGCGTGCCTGCCTGCCCGTGTGTGTGCGTGCCTGCCTGCGTGCGTGCGTGCGTGCCTGCCTGTGTGCTTGCGTGCCTGCCTGTGTGCGCGCCTGTGCCTGTGTGCGTGTCTGCCTGTGTGTGCGCGTGTCTGCCTGTGTGTGCGCGTGTCTGCCTGTGTGCGCGCGTGTCTGCCTGTGTGCGTGCGTGTCTGCCTGTGTGAGCGCGTGTCTGCGTGTGTGCATGCCTGTGTCGTGTGTGCATGTGGGCTGACGAGTATTGAATGATTGTTTTGTCTTTTCCTGAAACAGGAAGTGAAGATTATCCGCTCACTGATCCTTGGGGAGATGGAACGAGGACAGAGCCAGTTACAGGGCTTGTGCTTCATCACCCGGCTCCATAGGAACGAGCTGATCCCCAGCGAGTCCATGGCCAAATTGCGACAGGTGGGAACAGGCCTCCAGCACTGGTCCCGGGGCAGATTCTAACTGTTTGTTTCTCCCGTTGTTTTCAAATGTGTTCTCTGCCTTGTGCCAATTATTGGTGCCGTGCTCTGCTCTGCATTTACTCAAATCATTGGCAATTGTAGGCCAATCTCTCTCAATACAATTTATCCCATTACACATGCATTTGCTGCAGAGCAAACATTCTGTGTCCAGAGCAGTGCTCATGCTGTTGCCAACTCTTTGCCAGCCTCTTCACTACCAGCAGTGTTGTGCTAATGGTGCGTACAATCTACTAATGACCAGAGTTCAATCCTGAAAGTCGTTCTCTTTTGCTGTAGAAGAATGCGCGTGCGGTCCGCATGGCCGAGGAGCAGCGAGCCCCCCAGCACCTGTACATGGACGTGGCAGTGAATTATAGCAAGGCCTTGCCACTCAGCATGCACATCCACAACATCTGTGCAGAGGCCAGGGACGCCATTTACACCAGAGAGGCAGACGCCAAGCACTGGATGGAGAAAGGTCAGTAAAATGCTTTTGGGGTGGGGGATGGGTAAGGGTTTGAATATGTCTGGTAACAAGTTGAAGCTTGTGTGAACAGGCACTTGCCAGTGGATACTGTCAGAACTGAAACCATGGGGGTAGCAGTGTCCTTTTTGTGCAGTGCCTCGCGTAATAAGCTGTGCTCCTCTTTTGTTAGGTCTGGATGGGTCTATGTTTGAGATTCTCCCCCAAGCATCAGAAGTGACCGATGTTGAACGCTGCCGGCTGAGTGCTGATCGCTGGAAGCCGTGTGTGTGTCACTATTCTCTGTGCATCGAGTGGTACCCCTGCCTACTCAAGTACTGTAAAACCAGAGATGATGTTGGCAAAATCAGCTCCTACAAATGCGGCATCAAAAGCTGCCACCGATGTTCTCAATATGATTATTATGTCCCTCAGAAACAGTTGTGCCTTTGGATGAAGAGCCCTAATCCCTGCTGTTTATTTATGCCAAACGAAGAATCTTGACAGTTGGTGTCCATCCCTGTCATTGAGTGATCAATGAAAGTGGTGGTGCTGCAGCAGAGGAATGGGGTCTGTCTCTCTCCCATCCTGCTGAGGGACAGGAACCCAGAACTTCACGCAGTAATAGAAGCAATAGGTTCTCACAGATCATCTACAATACATTCCATTTTCCATGACTGCAGTTACTTGAACAATACTAAGAAAGCCACATTCTCCAAACTTAATTCAGGCAGGGGACTCGGTGTGGGATAGGCCGGAGCTGATCTAACATCAACCAATTTTAGGGCCAATTCTGTTTGGCTTTTGACTGGATTTTGATGGGAGAAGTGGGGTGAATGTGTGTTCTTAGGCTCAACCAAGGATTTGCTTATGAACAAGCCCTTGACCTGTGAGGTTCTCTTTACCTCCCCTTCCCCTATGATAAAGGATGGAACAGGCTGTCATTGGCTTGTGACCAGAGCGCCCTCTTGTGGTCTCTTCTGTAGTTTCTTGGTCCTGATAATAAGGGTTTATGGTTTCACCAATACTTAAAATTCTTTACAGTTCTTATTTCTCCTTTTAATGTCTTAGTGATGGCTGTGGTGAATGCCCAGTGATGTTTATTGTGTGTGCTCATGTACTACGCTTGCCAGTGCAATTTCTTAAATGGAATAATGAAGGTATCAGATTATTATGTTAATGGCCTCATGTCTGAGCTCCCTCTTGGATACGTGCACTGATTTCTGACATCTCTCTTCTCACACTGAGGGCAGCCCCTCCCATACCCACACCCAGGGTGGTTGGCACAAACTGCAGCCAGGCAAGAAACTACAGAAGGATTCCGCTAATGTAATCACAGAGGGCCGTGCTAACACACTGATCTCTGCCTAATAAACATTTACTCTTTCCCAGAGTGTCTTAACATTTTGGGAAAGCAAAAGTTTCCATTTGACTGATCTCTGCCCATCTCTGATCAAATCCATCACATTATGGCAACGATATGGGCAGAGGTACTGTGGTGCCCACGGTGACACTATTAACTGCACAAATCTCACAAAGTGCCTTCAGTTTCTTAAACCATTCTTCAAAGTGTTTAAATCTAATGAGTACAATTATTTTTGTATTAATGTAAAAATAAAAGATGTGTTTATTCAAGCGAAGTGAAATTAACTCAATTTTTGTACATATATTTATCATGTCTACAATTAATAAAAATATTGTTTTTAATTGCACAGACTGGTGACTTGTACTGCCCATTGCACACATTGTCCCCTTCAAAACCTGAACTGGGGAGAGTCCCGCTCTTGCCAGGTCAGGAACAGTCTTTGTATTTGATGAGGCTCCTGCAATCCTTTCATCTGGTTCCAGCTCTTTTATCAAAGGCATTAGCCCACATGAGGGCACTATATACCTCAGTGATGGCTAACCTGGGCGATGCTGCCGCTGATCCCGGGGAGTTGCTGCCTGGTGGTTGGTTGGGTGACGTGGCGGCGGTGGGATGCTGCCTCGGGCGCTGCTGCTGATCGGGGCGCTGTGTGTGGCGGGGCCGGGGCCGGGGCCGGGCCCGGGGCTCGGGCTGGGGCTCGGGCCGGGGCTCAGGGTGCGGGTACGGATGGCGGACGGACAGGTCGCGGAGGAGAGTCTGGAGGCGGACACCGACTCGGACTCTATCAGCATCGAATACAAGAAAGCAGACGGCACTCTCATCACATTGCTCGCCGACTTCAGACAGGTCTGTCCCCAGTCCCCAGGGGCGAGGGGGGCCCCAGCCTGGGGGGGGGGGCAGCCTGGGGGGGGGGGGGCAGCCTGGGGGGGGGGGGGCAGCCTGGGGGGGGCAGCCTGGGGGGGGGGGCAGCCTGGGGGGGGCCAGCCTGGGGGGGGGCAGCCTGGGGGGGGCAGCCTGGGGGGGGGGGGCTACCTGGGGGGGGCCCAGCCTGGGGGGGGGGCAGCCTGGGAGGGGGGCCCAGCCTGGGGGGGGCAGCCTGGGGGGGGGGGCCAGCCTGGGGGGGGGGGAGCCTGGGGGCCCAGCCTGGGGGGGCAGCCTGGGGGGGGGGGGCAGCCTGGGGGGGGGGGCAGCCTGGGGGGGGGGGGGCAGCCTGGGTGGGGGGGGGCAGCCTGGGGGGGGGGGGCAGCCTGGGGGGGGGGGGCAGCCTGGGGGGGGGGCAGCCTGGGGGGGGGGGGCAACCTGGGGGGGGGGGCAACCTGGGGGGTGGGCCCAGCCTGGGGGGGGGGGCAGCCTGGGGGGGGGCCCAACCTGGGGGGGGGCCCAACCTGGGGGGGGGCCCAGCCTGGGGGGGGGGGCAGCCTGGGGGGGGGGCAACCTGGGGGGGGGGCAACCTGGGGGGGGGGCAACCTGGGGGGAGGCCCAGCCTGGGGGGGGCCCAGCCTGGGGGGCAGCCTGGGGGGGGGCAGCCTGGGGGGGGGGGCAGCCTGGGGGGGGGGCAGCCTGGGTGGGGGGGGCAGCCTGGGTGGGGGGGGCAGCCTGGGGGGGGGGGGGCAGCCTGGGGGGGGGGGGCAGCCTGGGGAGGGGGGGCAGCCTGGGTGGGGGGGGGCAGCCTGGGTGGGGGGGGGCAGCCTGGGTGGGGGGGGGCAGCCTGGGGGGGGGGGGCAGCCTGGGGAGGGGGGGGCAGCCTGGGGAGGGGGGGCAGCCTGGGGGAGGGGGGGCAGCCTGGGGGGGGTACGGGTGCCTTCAGAAGTCAGTCGCTACTCTGACAATGTGCTGCAGTGCAGTTTTGGCCTCTGCTCACTCACTGGGTTCTGGGTTTAAGCCACTGAGCTCACATTCCGAGCTGCTCCTCCAGCACTGCACTGCACTGTGTTACATATTGTCCTCTGTTTGGGTCTTGTCTGTAAGTCTGTCTTCTGGGTGGATGTTTAAATCCCACATCATTATTGGAAAAGAAAAGAAAAGAGTTTCTCCCAGTGATGAGCCCACAATGCTCAAAGTAAATTGGTCTTTCACTTCATATCAGGACTCGGATGTGTGCAAATTGGCTATCTCCATTCATCTGGAAATATACAGTCACCACACATTCCAGCAATTACGTGTAAAGTGCCTCGAGACATTATAGAAACTAGTAATACAAAATATGTATTTGGTTTCTAGAGCTGTGGTTGGATTGCCTGCTCGCTCCTCGTTGTTATCTCTTGGGCTGCCTCACTGTGTCAGGTGCAGACCTTTCATCTGGACAGTGATCAGGAGTGGGACCCGTCTGACGTTTCTCCTACCGAACCCAACCTGAATTCCAGTTGCTGCCCTAGTTCTAGTTCAATTAACAACAACAACAAAATTAAATGGGGGGATGTCCCAAGGCGCTGGACAGACAGAGTTATGGACTGAGCTGGGCGTCGGGATGGGGGGATGATGGAGGGCGGGGGGGAAGCAGGGAGGTTGAAAGCACGGTCAAGGAGGAGGGTCTTGAGGTGGGTCTTGAAGGTGGTGAGGGAGGGGGCAAGACTGCGGAATGGAGTTCCAAAGGGTGGGGGCAGAGTGGCGGAAGGCCTGCCCGGCAATAGTGGGCCGAGGAAGGTGGGGGACGTGAAGCAGGCTGCAGCCCACTGAGCAGAGGGAGCAAACAGGGTGGTAGGGGTTTAGGAAGTTGGGGGGAGGAAGACCGTGGAGGGTTTTGAAGGTGAGGACCTGGAACTGAATCCTTTGTGTGATGGGAAGCCAGTGGAGTTGAGCAAGGATGTGGGTGATAGGGTCGCGGGGCCTGGTGCGGGAGAGGACACGGGCTGCAGAGTTCTGGATGATCTGCAGCCTGTGGAGGGAGGAGTGGAGAGGCCGACAAGCAATGAGTTTGCATAGTCGAAATATACAGTACATCACTGACTAAGCATCAGACTTGCCATTGTGCTTGTTTTCTGTTTCACAAAAGCTCCTGCAGGAGCTTGCCTGGGGTATAAAAATTGGACTGCATGTCCTTAACTCTCGAAATGATTTTGGAGCAGGCAGAGGAGGTGTTTGCTAAAGGAAGGTTATATGCGCTTTTGCAAACTCCACAAATAAAATATCCAGTGATGCCAGTTTGCGCTTTATACCAGCCGCTGGGTCCAAAGGCCAGACCTTGGGCATCAGGCCCATCAGATGCCTCACCCTGGGGAGCTATCGAGCCATCTCTAGCTGGATTCTAAACATGTATGACAATGGAACAAATCCTGTAGAGTTGAATCCCAGGCCCTGCTTGATGCCCCATCGAGGCCAGTCTGTGAGATGCCACAACTAACTTGTACATCATGAGATTGACTCTGCCCTGTGTGTGCTTCAGGTAAACATCTGTGGTGCTGACACTTTTTGAACTTAGAATTTTGATGTAACCTTTTAAAATCTCTGTCCCTCCCAGTCTCTTCCCCCCCAGCCCCTGCTCTTACTTTCCCCTCCTATCCCCACTCCTACTTTTTTCTCCCTCACCTTTCTCCTGCACCCCCGCTCCTACTTTCTTCCCCCACCTTCCACTCCTACTCTCCCCAACCCCCTGCTCTTACTCTCCAACCCTACCCCCGCTCCTACTCTTCCCCCACCCCCCCGCTCCCACTCTCCTCCCGCACCCTCCCTCCACCGGTTCCTACTCTCCCCTCTTCCATGTTGTGCTAGATGGCTTGATCCAGACTGAGTTCAGACTGGCTCCAATGCGATGGGAATAGTGTGTTTGCAATACTCTGAGCTCCACCTAAATGAATCAATGAGCCTGTCACTCGTGGTGCCACTCAATGGATCTGGGCTTGAGATTCCGAACCAGGTTTCAAGCCATGTGGGAAAGAGTTGTGTGTGTATGTTTGCATTCCTCATCCCTGTGTCTGTGGTGGGGGAAGGGAGAGGACCTGCGGGGGAGGGGGAAGAGAGAATCCTACAGCAGATGTTTGGAAAAGGTTCAGGTTTCTGTCTCCTCTAGGGAGCCATCTCTGTTTATATTAAAACCGTATGGAGAGGCTGAGTGATAGGAGCTCTACGCATTCTTGCTCTGTTGCCCTATGTTCTTGTGGTATTTGAGGAAACCTTGTTCACCAGCATATTTTTCTTTTGCACATAAGGAGGGATTAGGGGAAAGTTGAGTTGCCAGGGAATGTCATGCAACTGCTAGGACCCATTCAATGACCTTGTTGAAGATCGCCTGTGAGGTTGGTGTGCCCTCCCCTGAGAGGTTTCTTGTGCTTTTTTTTCCTTCTCTTGCTCTTTCCCTCTCTTTTTCACTCACTTTCTCATTCATTTTCTCTCCCTTTCTCTGTGTATTGTGCAACATGTCAGTCTACCTAATTGATAGCATTCTCTCTCTGACATATTAAACCCTAAGTCCTGTCTACCTGATCAGGTGGACGTTGAAGATACAAATACAAAAGTTACATTGTATAGCACCTTTCAAGTCAGAAGGATGTCCCAAAGTTCCAAGATCCTAACTCATTATCAAACTGGTCAAGAATCCTCCAGATAAAATTGGTCATTCACTTCATGACTGTTTGTGTGACATTGGTTTGCGCACATGGCTGCTCCATTCACCTACAATTACCTTAGTCATTTCTGTGAAGCGTTTTGACATTGTGATAAGGTACTATATAAAATGCCAGAATTATTATTTTTTATTATTACTGCAAAGCTTCATTTTCGATAGGCCTGTCTGTAATGGATGTCATTGACATGTTGCATTATTGGCAGATCAATGGGAAGCTCTGAGCTGTGGGAGTCTTGGGTCTTAAAGATTAGACAAAAGACTGTGGAATTTAAAATAAAACCCAGCTGTGTGAAGCCTGTTTTCTTAAAGATTGTAAATAAAAATATACTTCCAGAACATTCTACCTAGCTTGTCGTGCGAGCTGAACACTGCTTGTCATTGTGTAACTCCCACCACTTCCATGTGAAAGAGACCACACAATTGCTTCCTTCAGTTCAGTGCTGTTACTCATTGCAGTCGCAGGGCTCTGGAGGGAATGTCGAGGCATAGCTGTGATGCCAGTCACGAAGTGGCTGGGGAAAGGGAGACTGTGTGTGTGTGGGGGTGGGGGTCTGTGCACATGTGTGTGCTTGTGCCTGCGCGTGCATCTGTGCACGTATATCTGTGCCTGCATGCATGCGCCTGTGTGCCTTTGCCCATGCGTCTGTGCCCATGCACCCGTGCCTGCAGGTGCGTATGGGTGTGCACAGGTTGCTGTGCGTGCGAGCGGATCTCTGTGGGTGCCTGTGCTTGTGTGGGTGACTGTCCGCACGCCTGTGCGGGTGCCTGTGTGTGCCAGTGCGCACGTCTGTGCAGGCGCCCGTGTGGGCTAGTGCTTGTGTGTATGTGTGCCTGTGTATGTGCACGTATGTGTGCCAGTGTGCGTGCCGGTGTGGGAGCCAGTGTGGGTTCCTGTGCATGTGGGTGTGCGGGTGCCTGTGTGTCTGCCTGTGTGTGTGTATGCCTGTGTGTGTGCGCGTGTGTGCCTTTGTGTGTGTGTGTGTATGCCTGTGTGTGTGCGCGTGTGTGCCTTTGTGTGTGGTGTGTGTGTGCCTGCCTGTGTATGCCTGCCTGCCTGTGTATGCCTGCCTGTGCCTGCCTGCTTGCCTGCCTGTGCGTGCTTGCCTGCCTGTGCGTGCTTGCCTGCCTGTGCGTGCCTGCCTGCCCGTGTGTGTGCGTGCCTGCCTGCGTGCGTGCGTGCCTGCCTGCGTGCTTGCGTGCCTGCCTGTGTGCGTGCGTGCCTGCCTGTGTGCGTGCCTGCCTGTGTGCGTGCGTGTCTGCCTGTGTGCGTGCGTGTCTGCCTGTGTCCGTGCGTGTCTGCCTGTGTCCGTGCGTGCCTGCCTGTGTATGTGCGTGCCTGCGTGTGTGCATGCCTGTGTGCGTGTGTGCATGTGGGCTGACGAGTATTGAATGATTGTTTTGTCTTTTCCTGAAACAGGAAGTGAAGATTATCCGCTCACTGATCCTTGGGGAGATGGAACGAGGACAGAGCCAGTTACAGGGCTTGTGCTTCATCACCCGGCTCCATAGGAACGAGCTGATCCCCAGCGAGTCCATGGCCAAATTGCGACAGGTGGGAACAGGCCTCCAGCACTGGTCCCGGGGCAGATTCTAACTGTTTGTTTCTCCCGTTGTTTTCAAATGTGTTCTCTGCCTTGTGCCAATTATTGGTGCCGTGCTCTGCTCTGCATTTACTCAAATCATTGGCAATTGTAGGCCAATCTCTCTCAATACAATTTATCCCATTACACATGCATTTGCTGCAGAGCAAACATTCTGTGTCCAGAGCAGTGCTCATGCTGTTGCCAACTCCTTTGCCAGCCTCTTCACTACCAGCAGTGTTGTGCTAATGGTGCGTACAATCTACTAATGACCAGAGTTCAATCCTGAAAGTCGTTCTCTTTTGCTGTAGAAGAATGCGCGTGCGGTCCGCATGGCCGAGGAGCAGCGAGCCCCCCAGCACCTGTACATGGACGTGGCAGTGAATTATAGCAAGGCCTTGCCACTCAGCATGCACATCCACAACATCTGTGCAGAGGCCAGGGACGCCATTTACACCAGAGAGGCAGACGCCAAGCACTGGATGGAGAAAGGTCAGTAAAATGCTTTTGGGGTGGGGGATGGGTAAGGGTTTGAATATGTCTGGTAACAAGTTGAAGCTTGTGTGAACAGGCACTTGCCAGTGGATACTGTCAGAACTGAAACCATGGGGGTAGCAGTGTCCTTTTTGTGCAGTGCCTCGCGTAATAAGCTGTGCTCCTCTTTTGTTAGGTCTGGATGGGTCTATGTTTGAGATTCTCCCCCAAGCATCAGAAGTGACCGATGTTGAACGCTGCCGGCTGAGTGCTGATCGCTGGAAGCCGTGTGTGTGTCACTATTCTCTGTGCATCGAGTGGTACCCCTGCCTACTCAAGTACTGTAAAACCAGAGATGATGTTGGCAAAATCAGCTCCTACAAATGCGGCATCAAAAGCTGCCACCGATGTTCTCAATATGATTATTATGTCCCTCAGAAACAGTTGTGCCTTTGGGATGAAGAGCCCTAATCCCTGCTGTTTTATTTATGCCAAACGAAGAATCTTGACAGTTGGTGTCCATCCCTGTCATTGAGTGATCAATGAAAGTGGTGGTGCTGCAGCAGAGGAATGGGGTCTGTCTCTCTCCCATCCTGCTGAGGGACAGGAACCCAGAACTTCACGCAGTAATAGAAGCAATAGGTTCTCACAGATCATCTACAATACATTCCATTTTCCATGACTGCAGTTACTTGAACAATACTAAGAAAGCCACATTCTCCAAACTTAATTCAGGCAGGGGACTCGGTGTGGGATAGGCCGGAGCTGATCTAACATCAACCAATTTTAGGGCCAATTCTGTTTGGCTTTTGACTGGATTTTGATGGGAGAAGTGGGGTGAATGTGTGTTCTTAGGCTCAACCAAGGATTTGCTTATGAACAAGCCCTTGACCTGTGAGGTTCTCTTTACCTCCCCTTCCCCTATGATAAAGGATGGAACAGGCTGTCATTGGCTTGTGACCAGAGCGCCCTCTTGTGGTCTCTTCTGTAGTTTCTTGGTCCTGATAATAAGGGTTTATGGTTTCACCAATACTTAAAATTCTTTACAGTTCTTATTTCTCCTTTTAATGTCTTAGTGATGGCTGTGGTGAATGCCCAGTGATGTTTATTGTGTGTGCTCATGTACTACGCTTGCCAGTGCAATTTCTTAAATGGAATAATGAAGGTATCAGATTATTATGTTAATGGCCTCATGTCTGAGCTCCCTCTTGGATACGTGCACTGATTTCTGACATCTCTCTTCTCACACTGAGGGCAGCCCCTCCCATACCCACACCCAGGGTGGTTGGCACAAACTGCAGCCAGGCAAGAAACTACAGAAGGATTCCGCTAATGTAATCACAGAGGGCCGTGCTAACACACTGATCTCTGCCTAATAAACATTTACTCTTTCCCAGAGTGTCTTAACATTTTGGGAAAGCAAAAGTTTCCATTTGACTGATCTCTGCCCATCTCTGATCAAATCCATCACATTATGGCAACGATATGGGCAGAGGTACTGTGGTGCCCACGGTGACACTATTAACTGCACAAATCTCACAAAGTGCCTTCAGTTTCTTAAACCATTCTTCAAAGTGTTTAAATCTAATGAGTACAATTATTTTTGTATTAATGTAAAAATAAAAGATGTGTTTATTCAAGCGAAGTGAAATTAACTCAATTTTTGTACATATATTTATCATGTCTACAATTAATAAAAATATTGTTTTTAATTGCACAGACTGGTGACTTGTACTGCCCATTGCACACATTGTCCCCTTCAAAACCTGAACTGGGGAGAGTCCCGCTCTTGCCAGGTCAGGAACAGTCTTTGTATTTGATGAGGCTCCTGCAATCCTTTCATCTGGTTCCAGCTCTTTTATCAAAGGCATTAGCCCACATGAGGGCACTATATACCTCAGTGATGGCTAACCTTAATAATAATAACATCATAATCCTTGCATTTGATATAGCGCTTTTCACGTCTTCTCGACGTCTCAAAGCGCTTCACAGAATATACTGTAAAGTGAATTGACTATATCTGTGGGCAAGATGCTGCAGTCAATTGCGCACAGCAGTGTCTCACAAACAGTCGTGGATTGAGTGACCAAATTATAATAATAATAATAATCCTTGCATTTGATATAGCGCTTTTCACGTCGGGAGGACGTCCCAAAGCGCTTCACAGAACACACTGTAAAGTGAATTGACTGTATATTTGTGGGCGAACGCGGCAGCCAATTGCGCACAGCAATGTCCCACAAACAGTCGTAGATTGAAAATGACCAATTTAATTATTGTTTTTTTTTTAGCACCAGTAAACTGTTACGCAAATTGACGAACAACCGGGTTCCTACTTATCGCTAGGTAAACAGGTGTGTGTGTGGAGTAAGGAAACTTGCCCAACATTTCGCCTGTCGGAATAGAATGCAAGTCCTTCGCTTGCGAGTCAAGTGCTCTAACTGCTGAGCTATAGGACTCCACAACCATTGATAGTTTATGGTTGGCCAACAAAATACATTTTCTTGATTGAGTATTTCATGTTTTATGCCATAAACTGCCATAAAAACTGAAAGCACAATAGAGATTGAACACAGACTTTTCTAGACCATGGGAATGTTCGGGGGGGCTTCTTGACGAGCCACAGGTTGGCCACCACTGAAAAATGCAAGTGTTGTTGTAACTCATTATCTTGCTTGGTTTCCCTGTAATATATTGATACCATTATTGGTAATTACTGTCCTGTATTTTGAGGCATCCTTTCTTTCAAGCTCCCAAGTCCCCATCCCCCATCCGCATACTCTTCTCCCTGCAACCCAAATAACATCAGCTCCTCCGCTTCATTTTCTTCCAAGCGCCTCAATACTGGAACTCCTCCCCTCTCTTTTCTTCTACATACAGACATTAAACACCTTTACGACATACCCACACAGGTGTGCATTCATTCCAGTTGGATGGCAGCTCACCTGCAGCAATAATAATAATCTTTGGATTTGATACAGTCCCTTATCACATCTTCGAGACGTCTCTAAGAGCATCACAGAATATACTGTAAACTGAATTGACTGTATATTTTGTAGACGAAACTCAGCATGTTTCCTGCTGTTCTGCAGCATTAGGCAAGAATTACCTGGAAGAGGTGATATCAGCTTTCATGCAAATTAGGAGATGTCAACACCTGCCTACAAGTAAATGCAAATTTATGCACCTCCGGAGGTTTTGCCAAAGTTCTTCCACTTGTGGATTCCAAGGAAATCGTGGGAGAGGAGTTAGCCTCAGCCTCAGTCACTGTGTTTCGTCCTGTTTAGGGTGAGCTGATGTTCTCTGTGAGACTCCTGGCTGCTGTGAACCATTGCGAGTTCTATTCTGCGAGGAGTCACCTGATAGACAGTGATTCACCGAGGGATGCTTCATGTATTATCCCAGGCAGCAGGTAAGAGAAAATTGAAGTTATTGAAAGCGATATTTGATTTGTTTGGAATTAGTGAGTGTCTTGCTGACCAGTTAGCTTGGGGAGCGGTGACTGAGGCCATGTAGCCCACTGCCAACAACACGGTGCTATTGGAAAATGGACGTCTGTTGAAGTCAACCAAGGATTTACTTATGAACAAGCCTGAGGTGCCCCGCACACAGTTTCATCCAATTAAAATATTTTCATAGAGGGGAGCATAGGTATTAGTACTGAGAAGCCACATGTATTAATACTGAGCGCAAACATCAGTCTGGATGTATTGCTTCAGTTTGTTTCAGTATTGAGAAGACGTGGGTAATAATAACCTTGGCACAGGTTTTACTGTTATTTCTTTCAGCAACGATAAGAAGCCAACTCTGAGTAAAATCAGATGTTGCCCGTGTTTAGTTTCTACATAACATGCTGAGAGCTCGAGACACTGCGCTGAGTGGAGCTGCTTAATGGTAGTTACAGAATGTTGAATGCTGTATTATTTACTAAAAGATAATATGCTATGATTCGCCACCAGGGGACGTTACCTACTGCTTATCTGACCACACAGGTCGTTTTGCGGAAGTACTTTTGATACTTTCCTACTTTGATATTTATCTTAGGGGGTTTGCAGTGTTCTGCACGATGTTTATCACTGCAAACCCAGGACCGCATGCTGTATTTACAATTCTTTAACAAGACTTTCCAGCTGATGGTCACTAATCTGTGGCATTCCTTCGATGTATTGAGGGATGGGGCAATGATATTTGTTCATGTTGGGTATTGTGCTGTATGTCTCGTGCACTGAAACTACTACCATCTGGTTGCTTAGGGGAAATAATAATAATAATCCTTGCATTTGAAATCAATATGTTTGGATGGTTTAAGGTACCAGCAGCGCTAAATACATGGAAGTTGTGCACTAGCTTTGCAGGACCATTGCTGTAGCTTTACATTATCAGTTTACATTGGAAAAGGGAAATGTACAGGACAATAATGACTATTATCGAAAATATGGGCCCTTCAATCTCTTCATTCACGAACCACCTGTTGGACAGCTTGAATACAGACGTTATCATGATCTACAAACCGACAGGAGTTTTGGCTAATGATGGTAGAGAGTACTGGGATCATGGATCTCTGCATGTGGCTTGACTGCTCTACCACATTTTTGACTATAATTTCCTGTTGGTGTTATTGGAGGTGGTGATTAATACTAAGCTTCTGGCTCTATTGACACGGATCTAAGTTGTGTGACAGAACAGGAACTTGAACACGGAACATGACTTAACACGGGGTGGCAGATGTAACTGTGCTGTGGCGAGTTGGCAGGCTGGTCTGGGACAGAGCTAAACCATTTTCAAATGCAGAGCCCCTCCTCAGATAGCTATATAACTGCTGAAACATGGAAATTCAACTAAATTTGGAATTGAGTTGATTTCAGGAAATTCTTTATTCCGTCTTTTGCCCCACTTTTCCTACCATATTTGCTTTTTATCCCTAAATTCCCTTTGGTTTCTTCTCCCACATGGACCACCTGTTTCCTTGGCCCTCTCTTCTCAGCTTCTGACTAGCTGACATAATCAACCTTTGCTTATCCTCAAGAACTCTCTCTTCTTAATTAAAACTGCCCCTTCTCAGTGCTCATCAAAGCCTTCGTACCTCTGGCTCCAATCTATTCACCTCTCTGGCTCTGACTCAGAATTAATCAATCAGGCCATAACCTTGTCTTTCTGTTGGTTCCTTAACCATCTTTCAATCCCACAGACAATCCATTGCTAATATGCCCAAATCCACGTGTGGCACATTACCCACTCTGCCCTTCCCTCACACAGCTGCTGCCTCATCAGTCAAGGATAGACCTTCCAAGCTCTTCTCTCTTCTCAAGTAGGTTGTTTCAAACTCATAAAAAACTCTTCACAGCAACAAAAGTTTCCGATGCTATCTGACATCCTGTGAATAAATTGCTGTTCACAGGAATGTCTGACTGACTGACTGACTACAGTATACCTGGTTTCTGGCTTGTGTGTTATTCCCTAGTCATTAACCTACCTAGGAGATGTCAGGCTATTTGGTCATAAGTAATCAAACAGCAATCCATAATTCACCAATTGCTGCTTTTTATATTTTGCTTAAAATTGTCAAAGTTGTGAAACAAAAGTGCTGTTTATGAGGATCTGTTGGCTTATATGCAAATAATGGAGTGAGTTTGCTGAGGGCACAGAATCTAGGACAATATGCAAATGTTTCATTGTTGAACGTTCTCAGGAACAGGGATAATAAGGTTAACAGCAAACTGCAACCCACCTGTCAGCTCCGAGCAAGTAAAAATTTGCCTAAAATATACAGAACTCTCAACTGCCTCTCATTCTCACCTGTTCTACCTGAGACATTGCTCATTGCTCTGCGCGAGTCAGACAGTGTCCGAGAAAATCCCAAAGAGCCCAAGCTACCAGTTAGCTTAAGGTAAACTATTCAAAAAAAGGTTAATTATTATGAAACAAAACTTCTTTGCGGCATCCGAATTTTCTATTAAGTTTATTGTGTTTATGGGGAAGAGGGAGGGACAAGAGGGAGGAACTAAATAATGAATAATATGACGACGTTAACGATTTGAAAGTCGAATGTGTAATCGATCATTTTACTGAAGTGGTGTTTTGTGTTTCTGCATAAAGGCTGGCCAGATTATTAAAATCAGCTGTTTTCTTTACCACCATTAACATGAGCGTTGAGACGGGGAAACTGTCAGAAGGCAGATCAGTGTTCACCCAGCCAGAGGGACAAGGTAGGAAGCTATCGCCTTCAAAATTGCAGCAACTATAAACTCATCAGAAACATTGATTTATTGAAACTAATGAACGGTAGTGTGTGTTACTGGCGGGCGACTGCTGATTGTACATAAAAATAATTCTTGCATTTGACGTGGTGCCTCCATGGTTTTGCTCCCCTCCTACCTCTGTGACCTCCTAACCCCCTACCATCCTGCTCGCTCCCTCCGCTCAGCGGAATCCGGCCTATTTCACGTCCCCTGCCTCGCTCGCCCCACTATTGGTGGGCGGGCCTTCCGCCTCTTTGCCCCCACCCTTTGGAACTCCATCTCGCAGTCCCACCGCCTCGCCCCCTCCTTCGCCACCTTCAAGACCCATCTCAAGACCCTCCTCTTTGACCGTGCTTTCAATCTCCCTGCTTCCCCCCGCCCCCCTACCCTCCACCCTCCCCCATCCCGAACTGCAGCTCGGGTCTGAAATTCTGTCTGTCCAGCGCCTTGGGACGTCCTCCCATCGTGAAAGGTGCTTTACACATGTAATCTTGTTGTTATCTTGTCATCAACACGTTGAAAAGGATTTCATGGGATTTATTGTAATGATTGTGTATTTGTAAGCCAATACACCAGCAATGTCCCACAAACAGCCATGAAGCAAACGACCAATTTTATCTGGAAGGTTACTGGCCAAGGCACTTGGTGAAACTCCCTTCTCATTTCAAGTACTGTCATGTGACCTTTAATGTCCACTTGACCAAGCAGCCAGGACTCATCTGAGCAGCCAGGACTCATCAGGTCCTTCATCTGAAGGACCTCGAACAATAATGCAGCCCATCCCCAGCACCGTACAGGAGTGTCAGCCTAGCCTAGTTTGAGCTCAATGTTCCGATGTGAGATTTGAACCCACAACCTTTTGAGAGGCGAAAGTGCTACCAATGGAGCCAGGCTGACCAACACATGACTGGGGTCCTAGCATAGAGGAGCTTGTGAAGCCAGTATCTATGGGGATGGACAAGCAGGAATATCAGAGCATTTTATGTGGTTTAATATCCACGTTCAGCCTGGATTTGTTAGCTTTGGAAGCAGCTGGTTTGGGGAGGGTATGTGTTGCAAATGAGGCACCAACTGCTCTGAGCGAATTGCACCCTCACGCCAAATGGAGTCCTTTGGGAGCTGCAGTTCAAGCCGTTCTACCCTCTCTCAAATAGCTAGATTGCTTATGTGACAAGAGCCTGAAGCAATGCAGTGAGAGCCTGAGCCCGAGCCACGCCCGGTCTAACCGGGGAGATCTGGCAGCTTCTGCCACGTTGTTCTAGTGCGTGCTTTAGAACAAACCACTGCCCCTGCAAGCTGTGTGCTTTCGGTCTTGACCTGTCTCACTTTGGCTTTTTTTTCCCCCGAGGCAATGGGACCTTGTCCCATGTGCTACTCTCGGATATTTAGAACAGAGGTCTGGAGATTCAGCAGCTTTGTTGTGGCACTGAACGCTACTGTATGATGCTACAGACGTCCATTCCTGCTGCGCCAGTTAAATATTCTTTTATTTGTTTATTAGTTTATTTGTTAGTTTAGTCCTCGACACGGAGTCCACATCTATTGTACATCAGTGTACCGAGAGGAAGTAGGACTGCCTGTCTACAGTTGATTATGGCCAAACTTTTGGGGAGATAAAAGAATTCGAGCTCAGCTGGGTAGCGCTGGAGAGCTGCTGTGTCCCCAGTAATGGAGTATCTGAGGTCCAGAAGTCACTGTTGTATTAGCTGTTGCCATTGTTATTCAGCACCTGAACTGCAGTGACAACATCAGGATGAAAGCTTTAGGTTTTTACTTTGTGAACCAATCGACAGATTGGCCCTGATCCCAAATCCCGACCCCAGCCCCCGTCTCCAATTGTTCGTCCCTCCCTAACCTGCTTTCAGAATACTTGTTCCCTGATGCCCTTCTTGAACCGAGATGGATAGGTCTCCCATCCATCACATCTTTCTCCAGTTGGGAGAGCAGGAACTGTTGTTATTGTAGACAGACAACAGGCCAAGCCACTCGGTACCAGAAGTGTCACTTTTGTCTCTCCTTAATGTCCCAACTTCTCTGTAGTTTCAGGGTTGCTCTTGTGATGTATTGATTGTAGGTCTAATGTTGGGATTGGGTGTAGGGTTAGATGGCACAGCTACTCTTGGTAATGGAATAAATCCCCTTTCCAGGGTCTTCTGCCAACTCATTAATTCCAGAACTCGGAGGGTTAACAGTAGCTTCCAGCAGCGAGGAGGTCAGTCTGTCTATATGAGGGTCTGAGCCATACAGAGCAGCACCCACAGTCTCCATAGCCACAGGGTCAACCTGATTTACATGTTTTTGAAAATTTCCATACTGTAGCTTTGCACTAGTGATTTACATAATGGCGGTGTGCAGTCCCTCTGTGCAGGAAAGAGCCTGTTCATTTGCAATTCAAATCCAGCAGCAGCATATTGCTGTGTGTGAGTAGGGGGCAAGGAAGGGGTAATTCCCTTGATACAGAGGGAGTCTTGAGACCACAGGGGCTCGGGATGAACATTCCACAGGTGGGGTTGACAACAACAGGAATCCTGGAACAAGGAATTTCCCTGAGTGTGGAGCCTGCGCAAAGCTCGGATTTTCCCCGTAGAGCTCACTTTGCTCGACAATGGCAATGCCGCCCTTCACTCTGTATACACAAGTGATAGTACTACAACAACAACTTCGATTTATATAGCGCCCTCCACGTCGGACAGCGTCTCAGGGCTTCACAGTAACGAATCCTGGGGCCGAGCCAGGGGGAGGGGGGGAAGGTGACCAAAGGTGCAGTCGAAAAGAAAGGGCTTCAGCAGAGACCTGAAAGTAGGAAGGGAGGGAGCGAGGTGAAGGGAGTGAGGAAGTGAGTTCCAGAGCCTCGGGGCATAGTGGCTGAAGGCACAGCCGCGGAGGGTGGAACGGAGGACTTGGGGGACGAGGAGGAGGCCAGACCCGGTGGAGCGAAGGCAACGGGCACTGATTTGAGGAGAGAGGAGGTCAGAGAGGTTGGGGGGTGCAGAGGAGTGCAGGGATTTGAAGGCAAGGGTGAGGATCTTGGTCGATCCTCTCTGGGACATTACCAGCAAAGAACCCAGGCCCAGCCCTCAACCCAGCCTTAGCCCCCAGCCCCTGACCCCCGACCCCAGCCCCTGACCCCAGCCCCTGACCCCCGACCCCAGCCCCTGACCCCAGCCCCCCACTCTGACCCCAGCCCCTGACCCCAGCCCCCACCCTGACCCCAGCCCCTGACCCCAGCCCCTGACCCCAGCCCCCCACCCTGACCCCAGCCCCTGACCCCAGCCCCCACCCTGACCCCAGCCCCCCACCCTGACCCCAGCCCCCCACCCTGACCCCAGCCCCTGACCCCAGCCCCCCACCCTGACCCCAGCCCCCCACCCCCCACCCTGACCCCAGCCCCCCCCCCCCCCCCCCTGACCCCACCCCCCACCCTGACCCCAGCCCCCCACCCTGACCCCAGCCCCCCACCCTGACCCCAGCCCCCCACCCTGACCCCAGCCCCCACCCTGACCCAGCCCCTGACCCCACCCCCCCACCCTGACCCCAGCCCCCACCCTGACCCCAGCCCCCCCTGACCCCAGCCCCCCCCTGACCCCCCCCCCCCCCCACCCTGACCCCAGCCCCCACCCTGACCCCAGCCCCTGACCCCAGGCTCTCTCCTGTTCTCAGTTTTGACTCTTTGTTCTTTCTCTCAGGTGCTGACGGAATTGAAACAGATTTCAATCGACAGGTGAGCAGCTGGAGGTGTGCAATGTATTCTGGAAATATCTGAGCTACTTGTGTGTCACTTTCTGGTAAATTCCACTGCTCCCTGTACAGAGGTAGCCTGTACTACCTGACCTGACCTGGGAGTCCTGAAGGTAGAGACCCATCTCTATCTTTTTTCTCTATCCTATCCTCTGCTGTATCTGACTTTGGGAGTGCTGGACGGACAGTGTTAAGAGAGCTTTACTCTGTCTCTAACACGTGCTGTCACTGACCTGGCAGTATGGAATCCTGGAGCTTATTGATTAGAGCACTCGCCTCGCAAGCGAGAGGACCTTGATTTGATTTTCAGACAGGGCGAAACATTGGGCAAGTTTCCTTACTCCCCACACACACCTGTTTACCTAGCAGTAAGTAGGAACCCGGTTAGTTAGTTGATTGGCAGATCGTTTTCCGGGAGTAATAATCCCGTTAAAAAAACCAAAAACGTTTTAAAAAATAAGTTGGTTGCTCAATCCACCACTGTTTGTGGAACACTGCTGTATGCTATTGGCTGCCATGTTTCGCCCACAAAATAAACAGTCAATTCTGTGAAGCGCTTTGAGATGTCTTAAAGACGTGATACGACGCTATATCAAATGCAAAGATTATCATTATATTTTATAGTCTGTCTCTAACCTATGCTGTTGCTGACCTGGGAGAGAAGACAGACAGTGTAGATGGAGCTTTACTGTATCTCTACCCTGTGAGCCTGTGCTGTGAGCTCCTGGTGTGAGCAGGATGAGGCTCTGATTGACTGGTCCAGCTGAGCTCATGCATCAACCAGGATTTGCCTACAGAGTGACACAGAGAGTAGGTGGGGCCCACCTGTCTGTTCCGTTTGATCAGTAACAGAAACAGTAACAGTCAGAGACTCCTCCCCAGCTCGTGCACCAGGGGGGCAATAGCACAAGTCCTGAAGGATCTGGGTGTGATTATTAATCATCACTGAAGATTTCCAGACAATGTGAAGCTGCCGTAACAAATAGTAAATACTAGTTTGCATCTCTATAGCATTTCTATAGTATTGGGTGCTGAATTCAAAGAGCTTCTGATCATTTTATAATTCACTAGTGAGGCCACATTGAGAATATTGTAAACGTATCAGAAACACAGAAATGTTTAGAACAGAAGGAGGCCATTCAGCCCATCGTGTCTGTGCCGCTGTTCTCTCCGTTATCACTGTTTATTATTAATCCTGTTTGATGCCGAGCGGACAGAAGAGATTGTGATTTTCTCGTGATTGGATGTTGATTCTATTCTTTTTACAGATCAAAACCGAGGACCTGAGTGATTCTCTGCCAACAGGGCCGCCTCAGGTCGGGAGCTGCCGAGCTCCTACCACCTCTCCCATCGTCTCAGGGGTGAGAACTCAATCATTTCATACAATCTAACTAGAGTAATCATTATGAAGTTTGTGTCACCATCAGCGACGGGTGTGTGAGCTGTCAGACTGGACTGTTTCGGGTAGTCTCAGCTACAGTTGGGATAAACCTTGTGTATTTTTCGTTGCTGCAGATTCTGAGCTCAGGGATCCTGGCCACTAACGCTTCACGTTCACTTTCATTTCCAGGACCTGCAGCCACTACACACCCTGCAGCAGCTGGTGTTAGTGCAGGGGCACCATCTCCAGGCAACATCACCATTTCTCCTGCCACAGGCACAGCACACTCCGCAAGGTAAGCTCCTCTCCTACAGCAATAACCTGCACCTCGGACTTGTTCCAAAACCAAGAGTAAACAGAGACTTCCCATCCACGTGCTGCCACACACACAGTGCCACACACGCACACAGTGCCATACACACACAGTACCACATACACACAGTGCCTCACACACACAAACAGCGCCTCACACACAGTTGAAACCAAATATGGTATCTCTGCCTGTCTCCGGTTCTGCCTCTCTCCACTTGTGCTGTTACTGACCTGTGTTCTGTGTAAATATTGTATTTACTGTATTTCCAGTTTTGTTGCAGTCTCCGAATCTCATCCCATTGCCTCAGCCCAGCCTCCTGCAGCCTCAGCCCAGCCTCCTGCAGCCTCAGCCCAGCCTCGGGCTCTCCTCACAGGTCAGTGTGTCATTGTCAAAAGGATCAAAGTATGAAAGCCTTAACTTTGACCACAACTGAACAGTGTCAGCGATGCTCATACTGACAGAGCTCTATATTGTGACGACAAAACCTACCTCAGTGGAGTTATATTTTGCGTGTCACTGTCAGCCTGGTTCAGTTCATTGCTCTCTCACCTCTGAGCCAGCAGATTGTGGGTTTAAGCAACAATGAGCACTGTTTATTTGACCGACTTTCAGGCACTGATTCGCCCCAGCCTTGGGATCTCCTCTCTTGAGGGTCACTTGGAGTCGCCTCCTACCCACCAGCTCTCCAAACACTTTCCATCCCGACAGCAGGAGGAGCCCAGTGATCTGGAAGAACTGGAACAGTTTGCAAAGACGTTCAAACAACGACGGATTAAACTGGGATTCACTCAGGTACAAGATATATTGTGGGCTGGGGTGGGGGTCAGGGTGCCATGTCCCTCTGTGGGAGCTCATGAATCTCTGTTGTTCTCAGGGTGACGTGGGGTTGGCGATGGGGAAGCTCTATGGAAATGATTTTAGTCAAACAACTATCTCGCGTTTTGAAGCCCTGAATCTCAGCTTCAAGAACATGTGCAAACTGAAGCCCCTCCTGGAGAAGTGGCTGAACGATGCAGGTACCCCCCACCCCCATATACTGTATCTAGTATAAACGCCACATGACGGTGTGCGCAGGATTGTACAATGATCTTTCTGGCCGACACCAGCTGTTGTTGTGTTGTTTTGCAGAGACAGTTCCCACGGACTCGGCCATGACCAACATGCCCCCCGTGGCCCCCTCGCTGATTGGTCTGGAGGGGCTGGGACGGAAGAGGAAAAAGAGAACGAGCATCGAAACCAACATCCGCCTGACGCTGGAGAAACGTTTCCAGGAGGTGAGAAAGGAACCTCCTGATGGCCAGGGCCGGAGGGTGTGGCTGGGGGAGGGGTGTGCCCTGGGTGGGTAGGGCCAGAGTGGGGTGGGGCCTAATGGGTGAGGTCAGAGGTGGAGATGTTTAACAAATTGACTGTTTTTATGCAGAATTCCAAGCCGAGCTCGGAGGAGATTGCGATGATTGCCGAGCAGTTGGCAATGGAGAAGGAGGTGGTGCGCGTGTGGTTCTGTAACCGGCGGCAGAAGGAGAAGAGGATAAACTTCCCCGTCACAGCGGCCCTCAAACCTCCCCTGTACAACTCCCGCCTGGTCAGTCTCCAACTCTGAGCTGCCACGCTCAGCTCTTGATCTGTTTTCCTCCTGTAGCTCAGTGGTTACAGCACTTGCCTCAGCAAACGAGAGACCTGGCCAGGGTGAAACATTTGGGCAACTTTCCTTACTCCACACGTCTCTGTTTACCAGCATTAAGTAGGAACACGGTTGCTAGTCGATTGGGGGATTGCTTTTCTGGGGGTAATAATCCCTTCAAAAAAAATGAATTGGTCACTTCAATCCACGACTGTTTGTGGGACGCTGCTGTGTGCAATTGGCTGCCGTATTTCACCCACAAAATATACAGACAATTCACTTTGCAGTGTATCCTGTGAAGCGCTTTGAGATGTCTCGAAGACGTGCTAAGGCGCTGTATCAAATGCAAGGATTATTATTGTCTCACTCCATCTGCTTCCACTAGTGTACGTTCTCTCTTTGTTTTTACTGCTCAGTTTGTTTGAACTCCGGCTGCTGGTCTGACCTCTCCCATTTTATCCTGTCGCAGGTTTCTGCCCCGACCTCCCTGGGATTGGCCGCCAGTCAGCTCCACAGCAACATGAGTCTGACAGGTAAGGCAGTCCCCAGGCTGGAGAGGCTGAAATGAACATGTATCTCTTTCTCTCTGACTTTCTACCATTGAATTACCAGCTAATTTTATGCCGTTTCCCTTCCAGGCTCTTCCTCACCTGGAGTCTCCTCCAGCTCCGGCCGACCCTCTCCACCAATCACATTGTCCTCCAGCAGCTTAAACACATCACAAAGCAGCCAGTCATCAGGTCTGAACTCTACCCCCAGGTAATTGACACACAGACCCTGACCCACTAACTTGCACTAACCTGGGGTTGGAGGGAGTTTAGCCCAAACTCAGGCCTGGTCTAAAGGTAAATCACAGCCTTTACAGACTGCCCCCACACCACTCTGTGGGCCTACGCTGTCAGGAGCCAGGCTGGATGGGGAGGTGGGGTTTGAATGCCTGGCTCTCACACTCTTGCTAACGATCTGATTTTGTCCCCAGCTCAAGGTTCTGGTGGAACTCGCCTCCCTACCTGCACTGATCTCCCAGCTCCCGGCTCAATACTCTGATGAGGTTTTTTTTCTTCAGTTGCTCACCAACCCCACACTCAGCACCTGGTGCACATGGAATCCACTACTACCAAAGAATTTTACGAGAATGAGATTGACTGTCCAGGGCTTTGGGACTTCCTCCCAATGTGAAAGGTTCTATACAAATGTAATTTGTTGTTGTTGTTGACTATATTGGCAACATTTCCATTGATTCGAGGGGTTGTGGGTCACAGGTGAAGTTGTGGTTTCCTGGAGTGAATTCTGAATGTTGTGCCTTATTAAAAATTCATTCCAGAATTATGTAAAAAAAGTCTTTATTAAAGATTTTAATGTTTTTTTTGCAGTTTTCTTCTTTAATGGTTAATTTATTCTGTCCACCAGGCTTTTGTAAGTGATACGTAATGTTCTAAATTGCTGCCTATTTATGGAGACTTGTCTCATTTCCAGCTGATATTTTGTGTTGTTAATGTAACAGTAATAATAATAATGTCTACACTGAAGGCTTGGTGTGGCAGCTACAAGGAACCAGACACTTGCTGCAAATTTACAGAAAAGGTTTTTATTAAAAGTCAATAAAAATAAAATTTATTCCAAACATCACTTTGAATTCATTTATCAGGAAGTCATTTGTGCTGCTCAGCTTTGCTCAGGGCAACACAGTCTAAAGCAGAAGAAACTAATATCCACAAAGGAACCAGGATTTTTAAACTTATATGAATGCTGTTGGAGAGGAGGCGAAAAACATTTATTTTAATATTTACATATAATTGTGGTACTAGTACACACTCTGTGACTTTGTATTAAATTTTCAACAAGAAAGGCACAACATTCAAATGTTCAACTGATTGGTGGATCACTTTTCCTTCAAAGAATCATATTAATTCCTTCAAAAAATAATAATAAAACGCAAAATACTGCAGATGCTGGAAATCTAAAACAAAAACGAAACGGCTGGGAACACTCAAGTCGGTCAGGTCGCAAATATGGTGAGAGGAATGTGGGTCAGCGTTTCGGGTCCATTAACCTTCCTAGAGGTTCGTAAAGGACCCTTCAACGATGGGTCATGGACCCAAAACATTGATCCACTTTCTCCATAGATGCTACCTGACCTGCTGAGTGTTCCCAGCGACTTCTGCTTTTGTAATTTATAATAATAAATTGGTCCCTTCAATTCCACGACTGTTTGTGGGACAGACGCTGCTGTGTGCAATTGGCTGCTGTGTTTCGCCCACAAATATACGGTCAATTCACTTTACACTTTACTGTGAAGCGCTTTGAGATGTCGAGAAGACGTGATAAGGCGCTGTATCAAACACAAGCATATATTATTAAAAAGTCATATTATTTCACTGGTTGGTGAGACAGTAACGAGAGGGCACAAATATAAGATAATCACAAATAATAATTAAAAGATAAATTACTGCATAGAAATGATAAATAATCCTGTTTATTGAGGGCAGAGAATTCTTTGCAGAACCTGTTTCTGAACCAGAAAACATACATTATTTCATATATTAAAGGCTTTAAAGAGGAAAGAGAGAGAATGATATTAGATTATATTACATCAAAGGGTCCACCTTTTTGGCTGCTGTTGGATCCCTATTAGAGAAAGGTCTGTGGACCACATAACCAATATATTGTATTTCCCTTCCCCTCCCCCCTCCCCCCTCCCCTTCTCTTCCCCTCTTCCTCCCTCCCCTTTCCCCCTCCTTCCCCCTCCCCTTCTCTTCCCCCCTCCCTCCTCCATGCTAATGGAGGACATTCACCAGGGAGAGAGGGTGTGGAAGTTGGAAATGGTCTCGGACGGATAAAATCCACACCGAGCCGTTTGCGGCCCGCGGGCCGCCAGTCGGACCACCACTGTGTTGGATAATTATTCGAAAACCAGATTTAGAAAGTGAGAAAACCCAACGCTGCGATGCGTTCAATGGCCGCCGAGTGGCGCTGTGGCGGGAGGGCGGCGGGTGGCGCTGTGGCGGGAGGGCGGCGGGTGGCGCTGTGGCGGGAGGGCGGCGGGTGGCGCTGTGGCGGGAGGGCGGCGGGGGATTGGAATCGGCATTGGAGCCGCTTGGACCGGGATGGTCTCGAGGAGAATCGGCTCCGGCCTCCAGGGTAACAGATAACAAAGGCCGCTCAGGGTGTGCGCGCGCGCCAGGGGGGGGTTGGGGGGGTGTCGGGGTGAGGGGGGGGTTGGGGGGGGTGAGGGGGGGTGTCGGGGTGAGGGGGGGGTTGGGGGGGGGTGAGGGGGGGGTGTCGGGGGTGAGGGGGGGGGTTGGGGAGGGTGTCGGGGTGAGGGGGGGTTGGAGGGGGTGTCGGGGTGAGGGGGGGTTGGAGGGGGTGTCGGGGTGAGGGGGGTTGGAGGGGGTGTCGGGGTGAGGGGGGGGTTGGGGGGGGGTGTCGGGGTGAGGGGGGGGGGTTGGGGGGGGGTGTCGGGGTGAGGGGGGGTTGGAGGGGGTGTCGGGGGGTTGGGGGGGTGTCGGGGTGAGGGGGGGTTGGAGGGGGTGTCGGGGTGAGGGGGGGGGTTGGGGGGGGTGTCGGGGTGAGGGGGGGGTTGGAGGGGGTGTCGGGGTGAGGGGGGGGTTGGGGGGTTATATTACAATACGCCACTGAGGAAGCAAATGGAAAGGCTGAGAGATTGATATTAATTGGTTGTTGATAGAGTTGGTACTTCCAGATGTGCTGCTGCTGATAGCTGTGTTGGGAGGAGGTTTGTAGACACTCAGTGTGAGATCCATCATCACACCTGTGGTTCAGTTACAGCTCATGGAAGTGTTGGATTTCAGGCTGTGCTGTGACCCAGGTGGGTGCGGAGCTACTGACGCTGCAGAAGAAGTTAAATCTTACTGATAATTAGAGTTAACTGCAGCATGACGTAGTGATAAGAGATTGTGAGCTGGGCTGAAGACATTATTGGGACTGGTTTGTCTCAGGGTTAAGCAAGATTAACCCTCTGCCGCTCCCCCCTCCTTACACTCCTTTGGCCCCCATTTCTCCCTCCTCCCTTTCAATCACAATCACCTGGATGAAATTCACCATTTGCTGCCTCAAGCCCCTCCCTACCCAGTTGCTGGTCGCTCAATTCCCCCTCCTCTCCCCGCTGCTTGCCGACACGTCAACCAGTCTTTCTCCTCAGGCTCTGTTCCACTCCCTCTGAAAGCTGCTGCTATCACCCTCCTCAAAAAAAAATACCCTCGATCCCTCTAATCTCTCACATTACCATCTCATTTCCAATCTCCCCTTACTTGCCAGAGTCCTGGAACACATTGTTGCAGGTCAACTTCGGTCACACCTCCGCTCCACGATCCCCTCCTCTGGTATTTGCCCCGCCCGCAACACAGAGACAGCACTTGTCAAAGTCCCAAACGACATCCTCTCCATCTGTAACCAGGGCTCCCTCTACCTCCTCGTCCTCCTGGATCTCTCTGCCGCGTTCGACACAGTTGATCAGGCCATCCTTCTCCATCGACTCTCCTCCCTCATCCACCTGAGAAGGACCCCACTCGCATAGTTTGAGTTCTACTTAACCAACTGCCTCCATTTCATCTCGGCAAATGGTTTCTCCTCCCGCCACTGCCCAGTCACCTGCGCAGTACTCCAGGGCTCCATTCTTGGCCCCTTCTTTTCCTCATCTATATGCTCCCTCTGGGCGATGTCAACCGGACTTTGGGTAAACTTCTACATGTTTGCAGATGACACATAAATCTACTTTGCCTCCTCCAGTACTACTCCAGGTCCCCCCAGTGTTCTATCAGCTTTTCTGGCAGACATCAGGGCCTGGATGAATGCAAACTTCACTGCAGCTGAATGTCAACAAGACGGAAGCCGTACTCCTTGGCTCCCGTCAATGTCTTCACTCCTGTGGATCTAAGCTCCTCAACTCCCTGGGCTCTCCCTCAGACTCACCAAACCAGTGCGGAATCTAGGCATCCGGTCCGACCCCCAGCTGTCCTTCCTCCCCCACGTCCGGTCCCTGACTAGGACCTCCTTCTTCCACCTCTGCCACATTACCCACTTCCGACTGTACCTTACCCTAAATGCAGCCGAAACCCTCGTGCATGCATTTGTCACCTCCCCCTTGGAATACTCCAACGCACTCCTCGCCGGTCTCCTCAGCTCCACCATTCACAAGATCAGCTCATTTCAGACTCTGCCGCCCACATACTGACCCCAACCAAACTCCGTCCCCACATCTCCCCAGCTCTGGCCCAGGCTCCACTGGCCATCACCCAACGGATCGACTTCAAGATCCTCTCACTCTCGTGTTCAAATCCCTTCACTCCCTGGCACCTCCCTCCCTCTCCGACCTCCTCACTCCCCAATCCACCACCCGGCACCTCCGCTCAACTGGCGCCTCCTGCTCGTCCCTCGCACCCTCCACCCCACCATCGGAGGTGGTACACTCAGCCACTACACCTCGAAACTCTGGAACATTCTCCCTCAAGTCCCGCCTCCTACCCCACCCCTGGGAGGGTGGGTTAGGAGGCGGGACTTGAGGGAGAATGTTCCAGTCAGGTTCCACCACTGTTAAGGGTTCTGACACGCTATCCTGCGTGGGGCGCACTATATAAGTGCAAGTTGTTGTTGTAATAAAGGTACCAATGCAGTGAATAAGACAACTGTAATCATGCCCGTGGGTGAGTGTGTCACTCTCATTGTGTGTTTATCCTTTGTCTCAATTTGTCTCTGGGTCTAGTTCTCTCGCGCTGACATTTATTCTCTGACATTATTTTTACCCTCCTGGGAATCCCGTTCTCAATTTTTTTTTAGGTCTCAGGAAGTCACCATTTACATGCAAGCCTTCTCTGAGAAGATCTTTATTTCCTCATTCTCTCAGTCTGTTCCTTAGTCGTTGATTGCTCCCAACCCCAAGAAGGAAAATCATTTGTTAATGTTAATAAAATATTTCTCATGTAGGTAACGAATGTGAGTGTGTTACAGTATCATGCTGTGAGGAGGCTACTTTAGATGGGTAAGTCCAGGCTCTATGGAGACTAACCCAGGACTAGAAACAAGGAGCTGCTCCTTGTGAACCCAGGAGTCTGAACCAGTCTTTGCCTGATGTTGCTATCTTTCCACCAGAACTGGTTACCTGCTGTAATCTAAGTTGGGAGGTTCAGGTGACTGCTGCAAACACGAGCTTTGCTCTTAGTTTACAACATCTAAATCTCTTGAGTAGATTACTTATTTATAATCATTGTTCTAAATATAACCAGATATACATGCATGTGATCCCTACACGTATGCAATGGCTGAATGAGCCATTCCAAATTGTTTTTCTGAATGCGGATTGACACAATGTCATCTCACACTAATGCTGGGTGACAGGAGTGGGAGTGGCTGGGTCCTGGGACAGTCTGACCACAGATTCGGAGCAACTTCTACCTCTGCACCAGAGAGTGGAACGGTTCTTCTCGCTGTGAGGCTACCTGTGTTTGTGGAGAGTTTGTTTATCATTTACTGTTGCTGGTGAGAATCTCTCTTTCCTCAAACCTTTAGTTCTTGTGGACTGAACCCTGGCCGGGCATTTCCATGGCAGTGGAGCTCTCTAACCAACACCAGGTGTGTGGCTGGGCTGGCACACCGTCAGGGCTGGGATTAGCAAATTATTTGACAGTGACCTTTCCCACTGGTGTCCAATCAATTGTTAGACTTAATGTTAACATTAGGATTAAATGGACTCGGATTGAGGCAAAGATTGTTATTGTGTCACAGGGAGCAAAAGTAATTTGGAATGAATTGCCACAAGCATGGATGAGAAACTGATGAGGGAATCAAAAGTGAGATGGGTAAATACATGAGAAATAGAAATATTAACCTTAACAATTCTTGCATTTGATATATAGAATGCCTTGTCACATCGTTCAGACATCTCAAAGCGCTTCATACGGTTTACTGTAAAGTGTAGTGATTGCGTAAAGTGTAGTGATTGTGAGGATCCTATTCAATGTTCCTTGTTTTGCAGTGAGATGGTGGCCACGCTGCTTCAGGTATCCTGCAGCCTGATTGTCTGGTGCTTGCTGTACGTGACCCTGTGCAGGTGGCAGCGCAGCCGGGGCTGGGAGTGGAGCTGTCGTCAAGTGACCCTCATACACGGGATCCTCAGTGTCGTTCTGACCGCTTATGTGGGGTTCATCGATGGCCCTTGGCCATTCAGCCACCCAGGTGCGACTGTGATAAGCTGCTGCTGATAGCAGAGGGAATGAATAAGTTTAGCTAGAAAGCTAACTGATAAATCATTCAGTTGGCAGACAAGAGACTATTAGATCCTCGGCTAGGGCCTGTGGATTGGCAGCAAACATTGCTGTTGATGCACAAACCAACCACCAGCTGTGAGACGATGGCTCTGTATGAAGGAGGCTCTCTTTGGTGGATTGTGGACCATGATGTCCTGCTGCATAGCTGTGCCGGGGCGTGTGTCAAGCTGTCACTCCCCCTGACACTCTGGTTCCTTTCATAATCTTGGGTCCCAATTCCAGCCAATATTGTACAAATATTGTCAGACTGAAAGCCACCCACAGGATCCTGCGCTGGTGCCTGGGGACTTCTTTGTGTACCTGGTGACCCAGGGTGACACTTGGTTCCTGGCCTATAATAAGCAGTTGTGGAGGTTGTGACAGGGACATGGCAGTAAATCCACATGTGTTTTACTTTCAGGTTCTCCAAACACTGTGAACCAGAGCCGGGTGCTATGCCTCTCACTGGGCTATTTCATGTTTGACATGTGTTGGTGTATCTACTTCCAGACAGAAGGCCTGGTGATGCTGGCACATCACAGCCTCAGTATTCTGGGCATCATCATGGTGTTGACACTCGGACAGTCAGCCACTGAAGTCAATGCAGTCATCTTTGGCAGTGAGATCACAAACCCCCTGTTGCAACTCCGCTGGTTCCTGAGGGAATCTGGCCGTTATCACTCGATGCTGGGGAATGCTGTGGACTTGCTGTTTGTGTTGTTATTTGCCGCTGTGCGGATTGGAGTTGGAGGCTGGTTACTGTACTGCGAGATAAGCTCCCCAAAGCCTGTCCCTGTTGTGAAGGCGGGAGGCGTCGCCATGTACTTGGTGTCGTGGGTTTTCATGGTGAACATCGGGAGGTTTGCCTGGAGGAAAAGCAGCCACAAGTACAGGATGTGGACAGAGAGGAGCAGAGAATACCAGTACCTAGACACCAATGGGCATATGAAGAAGACAGACTGACTTGTGCATGTGTATCTTTGCTTGTGGCAGGATGTGCTCATTAAACATGCAAAAAATATTTGAAGCAGTGTTGCAGGAAATTCTTCCTGGTTTGGTCTTGCACGTTTCCTTAGCTCAGGTCCATCTGTTTATATTCCTGAACAAAACTCCCCATTTCCAGGCCTTCTATTCCCTGTTGAAGACAGGAACTCTTCTCACTCAGCCCCTGTTAACCCTGTAAGCCAGAACTCTTAACAAGCCAGGGTGGTCCTAGCTGGACAAGCAGCTATAAGCTTTCTAGACTGTGCGCTCAATGGCAAGCTATGTGGTTTTACCTGGTTTAACTCCAACAGTTGCCCCAACAGATACTCTGGGATTCCTAAACCTTGACTCTCACCAAACTGTATCTAATAGTTTCCAGGTAAGCAGGTTGTGTCTCCAGGTAGTGAGTACATGTTCCATTCCAGACATGGGGACATTTCTATGTGTAGGTGGAACTCTCAGTCTGGTTCATTAATAGTAATCCTTGCATTTAATACAGTGCCTTTCATGTCAGAGTGATATTTCAGAGCACTTCACAGGATTTTCAGGGAAGTGTAGTAATTGTATATTTTGTACCAACTGAGGCAGGTTGATGCCAGGATACCCTCGAGCATTGTGCTAGGTTTCTGTATGTGTCAGGCAGCTGGCTGGACCAAAAACAAATTGACTGTTCATGTTTTTCCTCGTTGGCCAACTGAAGCCCTTCCACCCTGCCATGGTGACCGGCCGCTCTTCAGTTTCTCGCCCAAGTGGCCATTGTTTGAGCCGTGACAACGATAGACATTGTCGCCGACTCCAGTCCTGCTACATTTTCACTGACCATTATGCCTTTTCTCATGAACCTTCTCTTCATAATCCCCATGGGATCAGGAATAGACTTTGTTTGCTTTTAGAAAAAAATGTTTGCAATGATAACGTTTTTCAGGCAGAATGTTCCATTAACAATCTATCAATAAAAATTAACAGAAAATGTTCCATTAATAACACAGGTTGAATTTGCTGCTGTAAAGCAGGGACCCAGATTATGATCAGGATTTCCTCGGGACCATTGCAATCTCTAGAAATGTGTCACATTTGCTGCTGTGACCATCTCACAGAACTTGACGCCAGACTCTCCAATAACAATAATGCTGCCGACTCCCCTTGAGCTGTGAGGAGCAAAACCAGGACTGGTTTACCGAGGCCACAGCACAGGAGAGAACAGTTGTGAAGGGCATATTTGGGAGACAGCAGGAAGTAATTATTTTACAGAGAGAAAGTTTAAATAGGTTCCCAGAAAGGTGATTGTGGTCAAAACAATGAGATTTATATGAAACAACTTCAGCATCTGGCCTGACCCTTGATTCAGAGACCATTTCCCAGTCGCTGGAGTTGGTGAGAGTGACCCGCGCTCAAGCATCAAAAATCAAATCAATTTGTTCTTCAGAAAATACATCGGGTTTGTCATCGTAAACATACTCAGTGTCTGTGTAACATGAAAGTTCTGGTCACTGGAAGGGGGTGCAGGACAGTAATGCTGCCCATGGTGACGCACAGGACCAGAGCATCTCACAGAGGAACCTTTAGAGGTGAATTCTATTCTAAATACATTGAGAAAGTAAAGCCAGATATCCCAGGGCAGAGGGGCAAGTTTAGGACAGACATTGGGAGGATCATTGATGTCAGGAACAGGATATCAGGAAGAATGGATTGAGGGCAGGACTCTTTAATGGGAAAGATAAGGGGAATATTCTGGAAGCGTTAGATCACATGGGCCGAAGGGCCTTTTTCATCCAAATGGCACGTGTAATTTACTGGTGAAGCGTTACTGTCTCCCATTGCCTCAGCAACAACATCAAAACAACTTGCATTTATAGAACGGCCCTCACACAGGGCAGCCCCTCACCTCAGCACCTCACACAGGGCCCCTCACACACGGGTCGGTGCCCTAGATTGGCCGAATGTAACACTGATTACAGTGTATCTTTGCTGTGAAACAGTGCGAGTCCTGCTCGCCCGCCATCGCTGCCATGGCAACATCTCCTCAAGGTCAGCAAAGCATGTGGTCTCTGGCTAACCCGCCGGGGTACTTCAGTTTGTATTTGTTGGATGTATAATTTACAATCAGAGGTGAATCAGCAGGTCCCTGACACTGCATATACAACAGGCTTCCTTCCCACAATGGCATCAAACTATAATCCGGTGTTGGGAGTCTGACCAGCCAAGGGGTGAGAGAGGGGGAGGTGACCAGAAGCACGATCAAAAAGGAAAGTGTTTTAGGTGGGGTTTGAAGGTGGGGAGGGAGGGGGCAAGGCGGAGGGACTGGGGGAGAGAGTTCCAGCGCTTTAGGGCGTAGTGGCTGAAAGCACAGCCACCAATGGTGGTACTGAGGGGGCGAGGGACGAACGGGGACAGAGCCAGCCCAGTGGAGGCAGTGGGTGGTAGAGTGGGGGTAAGCAGTTCCGATAGGTAGGAACGTCTGAGGATATGAAAGGATTTGAAAATGTGAAAGGATCTTGAAGTCGATCCGCTTGGTAATTGGGAACCAGTGCAGCTTGGCAAGGACCGGGGTGATGAGGGTCCAGAGTTTTGTGCAGGTTAGTATCTGGGCGGCGGAGTTCTGAAAATTGTATTCTTTGTGTTAGTAGAACTAGGGAGACCAGCGAGGTGGGCATTTGAAAAGTCCAGCCAGGAAGTGACAAAGGCGTGGATGAGGATTTCGGCTGCTGTGGGTGTGAGGTATGGAAGGAGGTGTGCAATGTGGCGGAGGTGGAAAAAGTGTTCCTGGTCAGGGAACGGCTGTGGGGGAGAAAGAAAAGCTGTGTGATTGAACCTGACGCCGAGATTGTGCACGGGTTCAGTGAGTCTGAGGGAGAGCCTTGGGGATGTTGAGTTCGGACCCACAGGAAAGAAGATGTTGACGAAAGCCAAAGAGTATGGCTTCCTTCTTGCTGACATTCAGCTGCAGGAAATTTGCACTCATCCAGGCCTTGACGTCCGTCAAACAAGCTGATAGGACATCAGCAGACTGGGAGTCGCAGCTGAGGAGGAGAAGTAGATTTGGGTGCTATCTGCACACATATGGTGGTTGACCCCATGTCTGCAGATGATATCGCCGAGACGGAGCATGTAAATGATGAAAAGAAGGGGGCTAAGGATGGAGCTTGAGGTACCCAGCAGGTCACCGGGTGGGGGCGGGAGGAGAAACCTTTTCCCGAGATATATTGTTGGCAGTTAGTCAAGTAGGACTCAAACCATATGAGTGTGGTCCCACTGAGGTGGATGAGGGAGTATAGACAGTGGAGGAGGATGGTGTGGTCGACTGTCAAACGCGGTGGAGAGATAGAGGAGAACGAGGATACAGAGAGAGCCCTGTTCACAGAGAGAGAGGTCATCAGCGAAAATTGGACTGGAGTGGTTCAAGTAGGGAGTGGAAGGAGAGGTATGAGCAAAGTTGATTTACAACCACGCGTTCCAAAACTTTGGCCCAGAAAGGCAGGTTTGAAATGAGTCTGAACTTCGTGAGGTTCGCAGGATCGAGGGTAGGTTTATTTTATTTAATCTGGGTCCCTTACCCAGTTGCTTACCATGTCCTCTCCCGCACTAAACTCCATGACCCCATCTCCCCCAATCTCGCCCGACTCCACTGGCTCCCTATTCTTCAGAGGATCCAGTTCAAGATTCTGGTCCTCACATACAAAGCCCTCCAGGGCCTTGCCCCACCCTACCTCTGTGACCTCCTAACCCCGCCGGCTCTGACCCAACCCCCCATCATTGGCGGGAGAGCCTTCAGCCACTCTGCCCCCAACCTCTGGAATTCCATTCCCCAGTCACTCCACCTCGCCACCTCCTTAGCCTCCTTCATGTCCCGCCTCAAGACCCTCCTCTTCGACCATGCCATTGGCTTCCCCCCCTTCCCCGCCCCTCCCTTACCTCCCCAACCCCAGCTCGGGTCTGAAATACTGTACTCTGTCCAGTGCCTTGGGACGTCCTCACGATGTGAAAGGCGCTATACAAATGTAATCTTGTTGTTGTTGCTGTTGCTCTGGTGGAAGAACACAAGGGAATAACACCCTAATCTGAACGAATTTCAGTCAGTCAGTTACTATAAATATTTTTCTGACTCATTCAATATCTGATTCATTTCAGGTCTGTATCTTGGTGAAAAACCCAGTCTTTGGTGTTGTCAGCCTTTCCCACACGTATTGTCTCCAGAGCTCCGTAGTTCATATAAACCAGAGCTGGTGATGGGACTTTGCTCCTCACATCTGCCTCTCTGGTAACCAGTATCACCAGGCACTGCCAAAATCATTCTGAAACTTACATAATTGCTTAACTGGCACAATTTGCACCAAGCTGCCCAGAGCTGTGAACCAGCTCCTGTTTGCGGTGCCTTTACTTTATTATGCAGAGGATTTGGTGCTGGTATTACTCCAGTTTACCTGCCTTTCCCATATGTATTGTCCCAGAGGCTCCTCCAGTTTCCTCCATCCACAGATTCTGGTCCTCACACTCCTTCTCCTGAGCACATCTGTCTCTCCCCTCCCTGTTACCAGCCATGGTGTAAATCCATGGGCACAGAGGAAATTACAGCTTCCTAAATTAGATAATTAACATTCCTCAAAAGGGAATGATTAATTCCCTAAATAATAAATCCTTTTCATTGGTTAATTACATAATTTAAGGCAACTGCAATTGCCACCATACATGTAGTCAATATAACGCACAATACTGCTGCACATGGTGTACACCCAGATTTCACACTAATTCATTAAACTATTGTTGGTAACTGTGGCGCAGGGGAAATGCAACAGTTTGTCCCATACAGAGTGAAATATGACTGTAATTTTTGTTTGTTTGTTATAGTTATGGTTTGCAGTTATAGTTTGTTATCAATCAGTTGTAACCTGTATTTGCTTTACAGGGCGATCATTCCTGTGAGGATCCCCAATAATTATGAGAATATTAACTCTGATTCCGGCACAATTATTACAAAAAATCTGTGCATAGACAGAATCATTGTTTGACGTTTCCTTATTCCCCGCCTCTGTTTGCTGAGCAGTCAGTGGGAACCTGGTTGTTAGTCGATTGGGGGATCGCTTTTCTGGGGGTAATAATTGCTTCAAAGAACATATAATAATTTGGTCACTCAATCCATGACAGTTTGTGGGACAGACGCTGTGTACAATTAATTGACTGCCGCCTTTTGCCCACAAATTTACACGTTAGTGTATCCTGTGAAGCGCTTTCAGATGTCTCGAAGATGTAATAAGGCGTTGTATCAAATGCAAGGATTATTATTATTGTAAGTGTAGTGTGTTGCGCAGGCTGCAGTGTAGTGTAGTGTAGTGACTGTGTGTTGGGCAGGCTGCAGTGTAGTGTAGTGTAGTGACTGTGTGTTGGGCAGGCTGCAGTGTAGTGTAGTGTAGTGACTGTGTGTTGGGCAGGCTGCAGTGTAGTGTAGTGTAGTGACTGTGTGTTGGGCAGGCTGCAGTGTAGTGTAGTGTAGTGACTGTGTGTTGGGCAGGCTGCAGTGTAGTGTAGTGTAGTGACTGTGTGTTGGGCAGGCTGCAGTGTAGTGTAGTGTAGTGACTGTGTGTTGGGCAGGCTGCAGTGTAGTGTAGTGACTGTGTGTTGGGCAGGCTGCAGTGTAGTGTAGTGTAGTGACTGTGTGTTGGGCAGGCTGCAGTGTAGTGTAGTGACTGTGTGTTGGGCAGGCTGCAGTGTCGTGTAGTGACTGTGTGTTGGGCAGGCTGCAGTGTCGTGTAGTGACTGTGTGTTGGGCAGGCTGCAGTGTCGTGTAGTGACTGTGTGTTGGGCAGGCTGCAGTGTAGTGTAGTGACTGTGTGTTGGGCAGGCTGTAGTGTAGTGACTGTGTGTTGGGCAGGCTGCAGTGTAGTGTAGTGACTGTGTGTTTTGCAGGCTGCAGTGTAGTGTAGTGACTGTGTGTTGGGCAGGCTGCAGTGTCGTGTAGTGACTGTGTGTTGGGCAGGCTGTAGTGTAGTGACTGTGTGTTGGGCAGGCTGTAGTGTAGTGACTGTGTGTTGGGCAGGCTGTAGTGTAGTGACTGTGTGTTGGGCAGGCTGTAGTGTAGTGACTGTGTGTTGGGCAGGCTGCAGTGTAGTGTAGTGACTGTGTGTTGGGCAGGCTGCAGTGTAGTGACTGTGTGTTGGGCAGGCTGCAGTGTAGTGACTGTGTGTTGGGCAGGCTGTAGTGTAGTGACTGTGTGTTGGGCAGGCTGCAGTGTAGTGACTGTGTGTTGGGCAGGCTGTAGTGTAGTGACTGTGTGTTGGGCAGGCTGCAGTGTAGTGTAGTGACTGTGTGTTGGGCAGGCTGCAGTGTAGTGTAGTGACTGTGTGTTGGGCAGGCTGTAGTGTAGTGACTGTGTGTTGGGCAGGCTGCAGTGTAGTGACTGTGTGTTGGGCAGGCTGTAGTGTAGTGACTGTGTGTTGGGCAGGCTGCAGTGTAGTGTAGTGACTGTGTGTGGGGCAGGCTGTAGTGTAGTGACTGTGTGTGGGGCAGCTGCAGTGTAGAGTTTGTGGGGAGGGGATTACTTTGCGCGGAGGGCGGGCGGGAGGGAGGGAGGGAGCGGCCGGGAGGCGCGGCGGGAGACAGTGTGAGTCGGGGTTGGCGGTGAGGCGGTGCGGCTGCGGCTGATTCCCGGTTTCCGTTTGTTTTTATTTTATTTTGTGATTATTTTCCCGGAGGCGATAGACCGCGAACCGCGGGACAGAGAGAGAGAGAGCGACACCGACGCCACTGCGGCCACTGAGGCCACTGAGGCCGGGACTCAGACCCCGACATGAAGCCCTCAGGCCTCGGCCGCTGAGTGAGGAGTGAGAGCGCTCACACCGAGACCCACACACACACCCACACACACACCCACACACCCACAGGGCGGGAAACCAGCCTGAAGCTGCCCAGGGAACGTGTGGCCATTCCCGCGGGAGCCATGGAGCCCAGAGACTGAGCCACAGACAGGGCCTGAAGCCCCGGACTGGGAGTCAGCCACAGCCCGCGAGGGAGCAGAGGGGGTCAGTGAGAGCGGGGGGGGGGCACAGAGCGGGGGGGGGGCACAGAGCGGGGGGGGGGACACAGAGCGGGGGGGGGCACACAGAGCGGGGGGGGGGACACAGAGCGGGGGGGACACACAGAGAGCGGGGGGGGGCACAGAGCGGGGGGGGCACACAGAGAGCGGGGGGGGGGCAGAGCGGGGGGGGGCACACAGAGCGGGGGGGGGCAGAGCGGGGGGGCACACACAGAGAGCGGGGGGGGGGGGGGGGCACAGAGCGGGGGGGCACACAGAGCGGGGGGGGGGGCACACAGAGCGGGGGGGGGCACACAGAGCGGGGGGGGGGCACAGAGCGGGGGGGGCACACAGAGCGGGGGGGGCACACAGAGCGGGGGGGGGCAAGAGCGGGGGGGGCACACAGAGCGGGGGGGACACAGAGCGGGGGGGGGCACAGAGCGGGGGGGGGGCAGAGCGGGGGGGGGGCGGGGGGGGGGGGGGGCAGAGCGGGGGGGGGGCAGAGCGGGGGGGGGGCACAGAGCGGGGGGGGGGGCACAGAGCGGGGGGGGGGGCAGAGCGGGGAGAGACAGTCGGAGTGAGAGGGCGAGTGTTACAGTGACCACATCCGAGGTCACTGGTCACTGTGGTCACATTTGCTGCAGTAACACATTACTTCATTACTTCATTGGAAACGACGCGACAACAGTGACACTGACGGCGGAGCCGCTGATTGCGGTGTTTGGGCTCTGGGGTTTGCCGTTCGCTGACGGTTTTCTCACCGTATTGGAGAGGATGGAACACGTGAATTCACTGAAAAATTGAGCTGAGAAAGGAGAGCCAAGTGGGGGGTAACCCGGACACAAACTGGACATTGGCAGCTTTCTGTGCGATCATATCCACAACCAATTGGTCATCAATCAATGTTCAATTGGGAAATGGGGAGAACATGAAAACTGGATCAGGTGCGTGAGGAACCCGTCAGAGAGGACCAAATGAGCATAACACCATCCGGGCTGAGCGAGAGGTAAGAGCAGCGACTCTCTCTCTCTCTCTCGGTGGTCTCCGGGGCAGAAGGTCGTGGGTTAAGCCACACAGTCTCCAGTGTGTGCCCGAGTAACGCTGCATTCAACCCCGGAGAGGGCCCATCGTTTGTCTGTGGTGTTAAACCGAGATCCTGTCTGTGTGATAAGGCCAACATTAAACATAGAACAAAGTTATTTGACAAGAAGGGAATTTCTCCCAGTGGTCCTGGCCAGTAATCGTTATCGTAGAATTATACAGCACAGAAGGAGGCCATTCGGCCCATCGTATCTGTGTCTCTTTGAAAAGAGCTTCCAAATCAATCCCACTCTCTCCCCATAGCCCTGCAAACTTGTCCTCCTCAAACAATTATCTAATACTTTGGTCATTCACTTCTTGTTTGTGGAACAATCTTGTCTGTGGAAATTGACGGCCATATACACTTAAAACAGTATTATTTACCTGTGAAGTGCTTTGAGACATTTAATCGCCAAGTGTATCAAATACAAAGATGATCATTCAGTGCATTGTGGTAAACTCTGTCGCTTAAACATGTGCTAAACCCACTGCTGTACTGTGTGATACTCTTGCACATGGGATTGTACAGTAAATACGGGGGTATGATTACTATGAACCCCACTGGATAGGGGTGGAATTAGGTGGCATTTGGCTCCAATCCTAACCTCGGGCGCAGGTTTGGAGAACGATGGAGCGAGAGGTGAAACAAATGGTCTTCTTCACATCCGTCTAGAGCTTCAGTGGTGGCTGGTCTCAGACACACAATGTTACTGAGCCGAGGAGATGTCACAGTGGCTCCTATTAGTGTAATTATTACAATGAACTGTCTGCCCTCCCCCATCCTCTCCCCAGTTGCAGTAAACACAGCCACAGAGGAGTTCAGGCGCGGGCGAGGTCTCTGTTCAAGCGACACTGACGAAGCTTTTGTTTGACTTGTTGAAACAATGCACTTTCAGCCCCATGGCCAGAGCCTTGTTACCTCAGTGCGGAGTGTAATTGTCACTCATTGTGGCAAATTGACGGCCATATTCACTTATTATTTATCTGTGAAGTGCTTCGAGACATTTAATCGCCAAGTATATCAAATACAAAGATTATCATTCAGTGCATCCTAATGGCTCAGACCGACACCAGTTTCTGGCCTCAATTGTGAAACTTTCATGAAGTACAAAGTGAGAAGAACCACATGATCGGAAGCTTACAATGACTCGCCAGCGGTGGCTGAGGTTAGCGGCTGTCTGTCCTCGCTCACAGACACAGACTGGTTACGGCTCTGAACAGAAATCTCAGATAGTTTCTGAAAAGATGAATATCTGAATACATTTCCTGTGCTCGGGTGAGACGTTAGTGTTTAAAGGTAGAGCCGCAAGTTTTGGCCTGTCTATCTGCCTGACTGGAGCTGTCTGCCTGTGCCTGGAGCTGGGCTAGGGGGTAAGGGGAATGGGGCTTGGGGAGCAAATGGGGACTGCAGGGAGGTGATTGCAAGAATATAAACCTCTGTCATCGGCTCCTTCAGCTCCAATGGATTAGAGTCCGTGAGGAGGGTATGGGAGTGGTGTCTACTCACTCGCCTGGCTTAAACACCTGAGTTTGGCACAGTTTGTACTGGTTCTGCCTGTTTTGTGCAGTAACTAGGCAACGCGAACAACCGATGAGTAAGATCACAATGTGAGCTTCACTGTTACCCCCCCCCCACCCACTCACTGCTGAGGGAATTCCCCATCGGGGGTTATGCTGCGGGTATTGTCGCTGTGGTTTCACACAAAGGAACCAAAGTGGTTTCCTAACAGGAAATGGTTACAGCTTATTCTGGGTTGTGGAGCCTCTGGCCCGGCAGCCAGTGCTGCTATTGTAGTAATAATAATATATTAAATAATGATGATAAATATTCATTGTCGGCTTTGAAATCTTTCAACGCCCTCTATAAGGAAATCCTGCCAACTATAGTGACGGTGTTGTAGGCAAACATGCACAGCAAAGGCCCACACGCAGCCATCAAGTGAACGAGCAATTTATCTGGAGGATTGTAGGTCAGGAATAGGAGAAACACTCAGTGATATCAAGGATTCTTTTCAACTAACACCTGAACCAGATCTCAGTTTGGTGTGTTGGCGCACATCACCGCCCACAGCGCTCGCTCGCCTGGAGTCCTCGGTGTCAGTCCAGATGTGGGGCTCAAACTCACAACTGTTCTGACTGAACCAGGATGGTTATCTGGGTGGCTCAGCGAGTGGCGTTTTCTGTGCTGGGGTTTTCTGGGGCTGTCTGTGTTGGGGGGGCGCGGAGAGCTGTGCTGGGGCTGTCTATGTTGGGGGTGCGTGGGGAGCTGTGCTGGGGCTGTCTATGTTATGGGGGTGGGGGAGCTGTGCTGGGGCTGTCTGTGTTGTGGGGGGTGGGGGGAGCTGTGCTGGGGCTGTCTATGTTGGGGGGGAGCGGAGAGCTGTGCTGGGGCTGTCTGTGTTGGGGGGGGGGAGCTGTGCTGGGGCTGTCTGTGTTGGGGGGGGGGAGCTGTGCTGGGGCTGTCTATGTTATGGGGGTGGGGGAGCTGTGCTGGGGCTGTCTGTGTTGTGGGGGGGGCGGGGGGAGCTGTGCTGGGGCTGTCTGTGTTGGGGGGGCGGCTGTGCTGGGGCTGTCTGTGTTGGGGTGGGGGGGCGGCTGTGCTGGGGCTGTCTGTTGGGGGGTGGGGGGGCGGCTGTGCTGGGGCTGTCTGTTGGGGGGGCGGGGGGAGCTGTGCTGGGGCTGTCTGTTGGGGGGGGGGCGGGGAGCTGTGCTGGGGCTGTCTGTGTTGGGGTGGGGGGGCGGCTGTGCTGGGGCTGTCTGTGTTTGTGGGGGGTGGAGGGAGCTGTGCTGGGGCTGTCTGTGTTGGGGGGTGGGGGAGCTGTGCTGGGGCTGTCTGTGTTGGGGGGGGAGCTGTGCTGGGGCTGTCTATGTTATGGGGGTGGGAGAGCTGTGCTGGGGCTGTCTGTGTTGTGGGGGGGGGTGGGGGGGCTGTCTGTGTTGTGGGGGGGGGAGCTGTGCTGGGGCTGTCTATGTTATGGGGGTGGGGGAGCTGTGCTGGGGCTGTCTGTGTTGGGGTGGGGGGGCGGCTGTGCTGGGGTCTGGCTGTGCCGGGGGGCGCTGGGCCGGCCCGGTGGGGTTGCGCCGGGGGGCTCTGTGATGGATGTGCCGGTGGGGGGTGGGGTTGGACGGGGGCTGCTGTGTTGGGGCTGGCTGTGCTGGTGGGGGTCTGTGGGGGGGGTGTGGAGGCTGTGCTGGGTGATGAGTAAGCGTCGGGTGGGGCTCCTTTGTGACGGTAACATCCTGTCTGACTGAACCGTACTCCATAAATAGGGAGAGGGAGGTGTGTAATTGCAGTTGGGTGAGGCTGGGAGCTGATTGGGGCCCGGGCGGGTCTCTCTCTGTGGCCCGGGCGGGTCTCTCTCTGTGGCTAATGGCTCCAGTGTTAGTGCTGATGATCATCACTTTCTGGGTTTCACGCCTCTGTCGCTGTATAGAAAATAAACAAGTGGTCCCTGCTCTCACCAGGCCCCGACCCCAGCGGGCAGTGTTTCTGATGGCTGTGATTCTGAGCCAGAATATAATAATAATAATCCTTTCAGGACATTTGATATAGCGCCTTATCACGCCTTTGAATTGTCTCAAAGTGCTTCACAGAATATATGGAAGCCACAATTGAATAAGTAGGAATCAGGGCTGAGAAACACGTAAATTACTGTAACTTCAATCCATGGGTGAATTATGGCCAAGTCTAAGAATGTTTCAAAACAATTGTGATTGGATAACATTTTATTATAATTAATTGCATTACCATGTTGTCGAGATGTCTCAAGGAATATTACAGGATTTTGCTGAGAAGTGACTATATTTTGTAGTTGAATTTGTGCAGTGACATTCCACAATTAGCCATGAAGTGAAAGAGTGATTGTATCCGGGAGTTGGATGTAATTCTGTAACTCAGTACAAATATCCTAATTCATGAGTAGAGAATCCACCAGAGCTGGGAACGGAGTGAGCTGGGAACAACAATAAAATTACATTTGTATGGCACCTGTCACATCAGGAGGACGTCCCAAGGTGATGGACCCGAGCTGGGGATTGGTATCGATGGTGGGCAGGGGGAGAAGGAGGGTGACCGAAGGCAAGGTCGAAGAGGAGGGTCTTGAGACGGGTCTTGAAGGAAGCAAAGGAGGGCGGGGGATTGCGTGATGGAATTCCAGAAGATGGGCGCAGAGTGGCAGAAGGCCTGTCTGCCAATGGTGGGGCAGGTGAGACGAGGGATGTGAAGCAGGCCGGAGCCTGCTGAGCCGAGGGAGCGGGCAGGATGGTAGGGGGGTAGGAGGTTGCAGGGGGAAGGGAGAGCAAGGCTATGGAGAGCTTTGAAGGCGAGGACCAGGATCTTGAACTGTATATTCTGTGTGATGGGAAAGCCAGTGGAGTCAAGTGAAGGTGGGGATAATAGGATCGCGGAACCTGGTGTAGGAGAGGACACGGGCTGCAGAGTTCTGGATGATCTGCAGCCTATGGAGGGAAGAGTTGGGGAGGCTGACAAGGCGGCAGTTTGCATAGTCAAGCCACTCTGGAACTCCATCCCATTGACCCTTCGCCTCGCTTCCTCCCTCGCCTCCTTCAAGGCCGGTCTCAAGACCCTTCTCTTCGACCGTGCCTTTGATCTCCCTCCCACCTCTCTGCCTTCCTTCACCCTTACACCACCCCTCCCCCAATGCTCGGGCCCCGACACCTGACTGTTCAGCGCTTTGGGACGTGCTCCCGATGTGAAAGGCACTCTATAAGTGTCATTTTGTTGTTGTTGTGGATGTTATGAATGCGTGTATGAGGGTCTTGATGGCCTGCGGTGTAAAACAGTGGTGGAACGGGGTGATGTTGTGGAGGTAGGGGAAGGCAGAGTGGGTCATGGGACAGATATGGGGTAGAAAGGATAGTTGAGGGTCAAATGCCAGGGTCCCGGACTGGCTTAGTAAGGTGGAG